CGGTTCCGGCGAGCTGTGGAATGTCTTCGTCAAATATCACGAGTGTTTGAAGAAGGAATTATTGTAGATTTGTCACGCGTTCTGTAGTGTTTGTCATAATAAACTACTTGTAATTGTTACTTGGATGTGTTCAATGCCGCCCATTACTTGAGCGCAACAGCGGCAGGATCTCAATTCAGGTCGGCTGATGGATTGATTTGATCTTCCAACAAAGTACCGAGGTACGGAGTGTAATCTGTGCTTAAATCTGTGCTTTTCCTTTAACATTGCGCTGCACCGACTTCGTCAGGTACAGCTACACCCCTGTCCAGATTGTGAATGGGCGCCCTACCCTACTTCGGAAGAAGATCGCACACTTCGCGTTTTCGTTCCGAAGTAACTATGACTTTGCACTACCTCAATTCCACTATTTGGATTGAGGTACCGGGATACAATGCGGTTGTGCTCGTGCATTGTGTTCCTGGCCCGCCACGTGGTGGGTAGTACCAATTACCTAAGCACCTCCACGAACGATTTCGTAGCCTCCACATCATGTTCTACTTCGTACTACATAGACATGGAAACCAGGACAGATGATGCCCAATGCTCCGAAAGCGAAACGCCTAGTAATACCTCAATGCAACACTCATAGCACATTCCTCTTTCATCAACTGCTAATATGATAGAGGGACCGGCCTCGAGTGCCTAAACTGGGCATACATTCACGTGCGTCATACGGCGAGGCAAACATCAGGACGCACCTCGATGGAGTGCTTAATTACCCGTCCGGTGACTCAAGTCTAACGGGCCATTCTAACAGGCAGCCGCCGGTTAAATGACCTTTTGTGAGGCTTTTGAGCGGAAAAGGGCCTTGGCGGTACTATGCAAGGGTGGCATTGCCCTCGGCTAACCCTCCGCCTCGCATCAGTTTAATATAATTAAAAATTTACCAGCCGGCATGACCTGGCGCAGGCGGCACGGGTTTCAGGCCCCAGGCCGCGTGTGTAACCTTTAGGTCCAAAGAGGAGGACGACTGTCTATATATGGGCTGGTCGCCGGCCTCTAGAAATGCTTTTCGAACTCTTCCATGCTGTGTTGATCTCCATCAAGCCTCCTCATCGATACACACTGATAGAGGCCGACTCTTTCCCGAGCGCCAGATCTCCACCACCCTCACCCGAGTTGATCCTTTTTCCCTTCCAGCAACAATGATCGGATCTGCCCTCTACGTCTTGGCGGCCATGTGCCTGCCCGTACTCGCTCACCCGCACAACGATGGACGACATCAGCCCCGACAGACCGACCCTTTTGAAGACCCGGCCGTCAGCACCTCGACCCCAGTTACCGATTCGCCAACGGAATCCGGTTTCTTCGACATCCCGGCGTCTACCACTTCGTCTACTCTCCCCACACTAGATGCCCTCTGCGAGTCTCGCGTCAGTGCCTTCGCCTCCGCAGTTCCCACACCCCGGGCCGAGGTTCTCGACTTCTCCGAATCATACTATCTCACCGCCACGCGCACCGCGACGGGCACGCAACCGGAATGTGCCTGGATCACGGCCACGCCGGACAAGGTCGACGACGCGTTGGTCGATTGGCTGGTTGACTTCGTCGAATGGTCGCTGAAACCCGAGACTCAAGACGCGGCGCAGGAAATAGTCAATTGCGTTCCCGATGGTTATGAGACCGATGACACCGCCTGCATGTCTGAGTTGAAATCTCTTCAAAGCGACTTGTCAAACCGGATTGCTGATCGTATTAGTCAACGCTCGGGTGCACCCGCCTCGGCGAATATGGCAACCTGGGGAATTACCATGGCCTCATTTGTTTCGGTCCTTTTGATGCTGTAGGATGGATGATGGTTGGTGTCGACGGGATGGAGATATTTCATGGATTCATTTGTTACCTATCTTGGTCGGACCTCTTGAACAGGATAATAAGTTGGAGGATACAATGATAGAATATTTACTTAATCAGACTTGTGACCAGCCGAACAAAGCCCTGGATGATGGACGGAGCATATAATTGTAAGGATCACCGGTCGTTGCGGGGCTTTCATATGAACTGCGGACTCTGCCATGTACTTAGTCTATCTTTCAAGACTCTTCAATTCAAGTACAACCATGCCCCTATACTTGAAGATCGTGAAATACTGCTTGACTCTCCCTTTCTTTATAACCTGCCCTCTACGACCTTAACCGACCTTAACCAATGCCGGCAGTTGAATCAAGACCAAGCTATTGTTAGGCACAGAAAATGATGAGGGAAATAGACGCTGCAACGACCTGTGCGAATGCAAACGCGGTCCCCCAGTTTCCCCCTCCCCCCTTCCATAGGATGGCGCAAAGCCAGATAATGGCAACTGCCAACCAGGCGCATGAGATTCTGAATGGCAATTCTATCATCATCCGATCCTTCTGCCACCCGAGGACGAAGTGTAGGCCGCGCATTGGAACAGTCCCTTGGAATCTGTGATATGGAAGAGGCAGCTCAATTCGGTTACGGCCCCTAACTGGGTCAGCGTACAATCGCTTCCATCGTACAGATATATAGGAGGAGAGAGGGCGTCGAAGTCATGAAAGGAGCAGGTGTTTTAAATACCTTACGTCGTAGATGCAACTCTCTTGCGCTAAACCTTCCAACGTAAGCTGCCCATTCGCTCCTGATGGATCTCGGGCACATTCCTTTAGGCGGGGGAGGAATTGAAGAAGTTTGCGGCGCAGCTCTGCTTTCTCTGCTTCATCCCTGATACATGGCTGGGACCAGTCGACCATACCATTGCGGCATTCGTTACTGTGGTAGTCGCCTAGACATTTGTCGTCAATATCAAATGGACACCTTGCTATGATCTCCTCGCACTCCTCTACGATCTTGTCGAGCTTCACGGATTCCATTTGGATGGGATAGCGCCCATCCGGTTCGACAAAACCGGCAAAATGAAACTGCATTTTTCAACAACAATGTTAGACCGACTCTCCACTATTACAAAGCGAGCGTTCAACCTTACGTTGACCTCCAGCACGTTAGTGACCCCGTAGTAGGGCAGCCATCTTTTCCACCATCCTAAATGATGATAGCATGTTGCCACTAATCTTCGGTAGATGTCGTTATCTGACTCGCAGGCATTGTGCCAAGGCCCATTCTCGTATATTGGTTGTGGATTGTCACCAAAGCCCCCAGAATATCCCACCACCGGACGCACCACTGGTGGTCGAAGACACAGCACGAGGGTAGCGAATTGTCCTTGTTTAGGGCTCTCTAAGCAGAGGAAGCAGCCTTGCCCTGCTCGATTTTGAATATCCAGCATTTTTGGGGGGTTCCGTAGAACAGCTTTAAAATCGACGCCAGCAACATCGAGGCCGGCCAGGCGTTCAACGTCATCCCTGTCGCTGATAGGAGACATTTCTAACGAAGGCTGTGGCATACCGGCGTGAAACTCGATGTTGTCGGTATAATTCTGTATGAAAATGCGGAATAAAACTCTACAATGTTCAACAAGCAGTGAATGGCGTTGTGGCTCCGAAGGCGGCAGGGCGAGTGATGGTGAGGCGAGATGGTGCGGGGTATTCTAATCAACAAGCAGCTGTCTTAGGAAAGCCCTGCCGACATAGTCGAGGCTTGAACTTGACTGGAAGGGCAGCGATGGCTGGGCAGACAGTTAGGCAGAAATCTGTTGGTACATATGCGACACAGCCTCACAGACAACACACCACCGCTATTGCCTACTGGCACTGCTAAGCCACAGTCTTTATAAGAAGGGGACCTGGGACCATACAAAGTCTAGTTCCATCGCGCACTTGTTCTTTGTGCCATTTTCGTTCCCACCTACCTTTCCTCTCATCGTTTGCCTTGGCCGTGGTCGAGACGTATATCTTGGGCGACCTTAAAGCGAAAAAGGTCCCATGTTGTCAACGGGGAGCGCTTTATGGTATTGTCGTATCTCTACGCTGCTCTCGTGTGTTTTGTGCTGGGGTTACGCTAGAATGAGACGATACCACAATTGCTAGGAGAAACTCAACCCACTTCCCCAGATGGGAGAGGTTTGCCGCCTCACAGACACAGTTCTCGAGTAAGTTGAGTTCCTCGGCATACCCTTTCGAGGCTCTGGCAGAGGTTTACAGGACATGGACAGGATCTGAGGGCTTGCTCTAATTAGATGCAGCAATTGATCTGCTGACAGGGAGGATCCTGGCTCATTGGACGAATGCTGAGGTTTTGAAGTCAGCGAGCGGGAAAGTCAAGATGCAGATAGGCAGTCAAGTAGGTGGTCTTTTCGAGAGGCCAAGAGTTGAGGCAGAAGAACTCTTTGTCTCTTCAGCCGACCGTAGTTCACACGCACCTGGGTTATTCAAGAGATTTCCGTCCTGAGGTAGGAACAGTCACCCTTCCTTGCGGAGCAGCAAGAGTCTCATGGAAGCACATGTGGGTGACCTCATTCATCATGAAGCTCATGTTTATTCGACCGGCGGCAGGTTTCTTTTCTCTGCCGGAATGACTAACACACATGTAGCTAAACTTTGGATGCTATGTAGGTTTCGCCTGCAGACTGGAACCAACCCACCTTGGTGCGATGTCCAAGTGGCGGCGACTACCTTGTGGATCGGGAAGGAGTTGAGAGGAGAGGAGAGGAGAGAAAGGGCAGGGCAGGGCACCAGACGAAGACAGGCGACTTGCACTAGAATACCATTATCATCTCTGACGTGAAACATACACGCCATTCATGCCATGCCATGGGTGTTTTCGGGGGGAGGGGGGGGGGCGGGCAAGTAAGCCTCTGCATAGGCCCTAGGTATAATTTCTATCCTGGGTCCCCGATTAGAGCATGAGAGCATGAGAGTACGTGACGGACCCCGTGAGCAATGTGGAAAAAATAAGATTAGGTTCATGAACCATACCCTTGAGTATCGCAGGCAACTGGTGCGTTGTGGCCTCGATTGAAAATTTATCTTTACAATTAATATTGCCATCGGGCCAGTACTTCGTACGTGATGCGTACATCACGAGATGGGTACGTGAGATCCTCAACTGGCCATCCACTGTCCGCCATTAGCACTGACCAGACACCCCGTCATCCACCCGCTCTCGGGCGAGCAGATCATCCCGACAATCCCGGCGATCTCTTCGGCATAGCCAGCGCGACCACCATACTGTTCAGCCATCTCCTTCTGCTCATCAGTATCCCACTCTCGAATGCCGCTCAACGGTGTCAGCGGGTACCACAACGAGATGGCTTTCTTGGCGTCCTCCGAGGCGCCGCGAAGCATGTCCGTCATCGTGGAACTGGGGTTGCAAGAGTTGACGGTGCAGTGCTCCTTGAGCTCGCGGGCCCAGGTGCGCGTCATGGCCTCGAGCGCGCCCTTGCTGCCTCCGTACAGTGTCAGGTACTCGAGACCGACCTTGGCACCGATACTTGACACGTTCACGATGCGGCCCGAGCGGTCGTTGGGCAGAAGCGGCTTCACGGCTTGAGTAAGCAGGATGGGGCCCAGCACGTTGATGGAGTAGACCTTGTGGAAGTCCTCTATGTTGACGGCCTCGAGGGGCATGGCGTGGAAGAGAGCCGCGCAGTTGATGAGGATGTCGACCTGTGGCTTCCCCGTCTCTGCGTTGGGCGGCATGTCGCTCTTCACGGCGGCCACAACCCTTGCACAACCCTCGGGCGTGCTGAAGTCGGCGCGTACGGGTACTGCCTTGATATTGTGCGACTTGGATAGTTCGGCGGCGAGGGCGGCGGCAGGCGCGTCGGATGCCTCGGTTAGGTAGATGAGGACAACATTGGCGCCTTTGGAGGCGAGGTTCCGAGCTATGGCGGCACCAATGCCTTGGTAGAACTTGTCAGAGTGTTGCTCTGGTGAGCATTAGAAGGAAAGAAAGCTCACTCCTAGCACCGCCCGTGATGACGGCCGTCTTTCCCTCATGCACCCTATATGGTGGGGCTTGAGTGAAGGGGACAGTGATTCCTACGGTGGCCATGGTATCTGGGAGAAAGGTAAGTGTAAGGTGATGTTTCTTTGCTGGATTCGATAGGTAATGTCGTGTTCGTTTTCAACGAAAGGTTTGACCCGTCCGGATGTAAAGGTTCGGTCAACTAAACTACTTTCCAGATGATGTGGTACTGAATGAACGGCAATTAAGGAAATAGGAGAAAATGAAAAACCCGACCTCTTACCGGCCCCTTATTTACTGGACCTTTCAGGGTGTTCTCGGCTCATATGAGGGTCAAACCCACGTCGGCCCGTTCTACGAAGTGACTGCCTTCTTCCGCAGCATCCTGGACCTGTGGCGCCACCAACGGGATGAAGTCTGTCCGGGGGTCTAAGTTGCACTTGCCATCTCCAGTGGTCAGAGCCGAAAGTCTGTGGGCAGTGGGTCAAGTGGGTTGTCAATGCCGCTCCTCATATATTGCCCAGGGGATATGAAAATAACTTCCTCAGTACACCTACTCCACTGTACGAGGTACTTGTAAAAGTGTCTCGTGTTGCTTCAGTGTGTATTTGTCTTCTTTTCTGGGTGGGATTTCTTGGCGATGTTTGCTGTGGTAAAGGATCATTAGGGGAATAGCATCCTTGTTCCCGGCCGTTGGTTGGTGAAACGCGATTTTGGTAACCCCAGCACCTACCCCCACGCCGTGCAAGGTAGTTCACCCTGATTGATGTCTTCCTTTTGCTAAAGGATCTATTTCATCCTTTCACTACGAAGTATAAGCGGAAAGATGTTAGAGGCATTGAAGCACATGACCAGGGACAAGCAGTCTGGACGTCTCTCTCTTATTTCCATTTTTTTCACTCTCTTCTCTCCTACCCCAAGGCTATCGGATGGAATATGTCCACGAAGATATATACCAGCTCTCCCGTCGTCAAAGACTCTATCACGGGTTCCTAGTCATTCGTTCCCTCCACCTACAGAAGCAACATGTCGACTGTAGACCCTAATCAGCGCGTAGTCGACCCGCTGGAGGGCACTGCACTAAGCCTGTTTGTGGTGTCCATCGTCGGCGGTGTAGTGTCACTAACAGTGGTGGGATTGAGGACAGTTATCCGACTTCATGAGGGGAACTTCCGCGTGGACGATGGCTTGATGCTCGGCGGTCTGGTAAGCCATATCTTGAATGATAGAGATTAGGGTTCTTCTCTGGGAGCCCGGGAGTTCCAATAAGCCTTTTCAAGCACTGACTCACTGGACTGACTGGTACCTATTGCTACATAGATCATCTACTTGCCCGATGTCGCTCTCGCCTGTGTGGGTGCTCTGAGTGGCCTGGGCACTCGCAACGCCAACCTCAACGAGACGATGATGGTCCAGGCGATAAAATACTTGATGCTGTGGATGCTACTCTATGTGACGGCGTTATGCTTGGTCAAAACGTCCATCTGCATGACCATGCTACGGATCGCAACCACCATGCCAAAGCTGCGCATCGCCGTGTATAGCCTGTTGGGATTGACAATCGCCACCTTTATCACAACTTTCATCGGCATCCTGCTGCTATGCCGCCCTGTCGCGGCCAACTGGGATCCAAGTATCATAGCGGAAGGTCGCGGCGAGTGCTCCCCAACCACCTCCATGCTAGGCTTGTCGTACACGTCGACTGCGAGCACCATCGCCACAGATCTCGCCTGTGCCATTCTTCCGGCTATACTTCTCTGGCATACGCAAATGAGGCTCTCGAAGAAGATCATGGTCGCTACGATCCTTTCTTTCGGCTCTTTGTAAGTCGCTTTTTTTCCCCGGCCTGTCGTCCCAGCTTTCCCGCTCCAGTTGAATGATGCACCTTGGCTAAGTCCCATCATCTTGATGACAAAAGTGCTTCAATCTCAACCATCATTCGCACTCCGTACATCGATAACTATAACCGTCCCTTGGATGACCTTCCTTGTATGTCCAGAGCCCTTCTCCCTCGCCCCAACTTCCATAGATCCCACCCACCCACTGATTTACCTCGGCTTCCTAGTTCACATCGGCAATATTCCCCTTTGGTCGAATGTCGAGACAGCCATCGGACTTATCGCCGGATCCGCCCCTGCCCTGCGCAGACTCTTCTTATATCACCAGTCACCACGAGCTACGACCCGCGGTACCGATGGCGGCTCCCATGGACTGCCCCAAGGGTCGGGGTCGGTTGGCCTCGTTACCATCGGTGGCTCAGTCGTGACATCTTCTAAAAATAAGGACCACAAGGGCTTGAAGTCCAACTTTGGCGAAGCCGAACAGGGCAACTGGACGCGCCTTGATGAGGATACTGGATCAGACAAAGAGAGCACTGTGCCTATCCGTGGGATTCGGAGGAACATGACCTTTGAAGTCGAGACGTCAACGTTACACGATCACGAGCACGAACCTTAAAATCACCATAACGTCCTATGTTGGAAGCTTGGCCACGTCGAGAAGGACAGCACAGCGCGACAAATGTAATCGGCTCAGGGCACCAAGTGCACTGGCCAGACCCATCATGGCCGGAGGTCTTACCCTTGAGCATATACCCGCCTCCTGGGATTTGAGAGTTAGGTACTTCTTACTTTGGCCTCTAGCAGTCATTGACTTGCCGCCTTCAAACAGTAGAATAAACGGAGAATCATCCGTCGATAGAATTAACATGTATACTATGCCTCAGGACTTCTCACATAATCTTGCTTACATGCTATATTGGAACCCCTTGAACGATACAGGGAAACCCGGCAGCCGAGCGTGGTTTGTATGACTGGAGATGGTCAAAAAAAAAAGGAAGTGTCTTACCTGCTCCCATTTTCACAAGCAATGACTCTGGCCAGTTAACGTCATCGTGAACCGCATCGTCGTTAAAGCAATTGTTATTTCAATAAACAAATTTAACCTCGGGCTAATCCTACAAGAGGTTAACCTAGATTTTCTCGGGAGATGCTTAAAGTTTGGCCTGCTCCTGAGCTGATAAGACCCTTAGGGGAGGACCTCCCCGGCTTCCGTCACCCTTCTTTAAACCCGGACTTGACTCGACTGGCGACCGAAACCTCCATTTACGGCGGATGTCATCCGATGCCTTATTCTCAAAACAGTCCAAGATATACTGACCGAGCACAGGTAAAAACTTGAATGCGCTGCGGAAACCGTCGTCGTTAGTATTAATGAAGACGAATGTGGTGGGACCTCAAATAACTTACTGACCAGCCCCCCCGGTGGCAAGGAAAAGACCATCGATTTCGGGATGGTGATCGATAACGAAATCACCCTCCGGAGTATCCGAGTACCAACACAAACGCCGCGTCATCCATGGATGGTTGGCAAACTGGGGTACCAGCTGCCGCAGCCCCTCTCGTAAGGCGGCATCCGCATCCTCAGGGAGATACGCATTTTCGGCGTTATTACTATCTCGCTTGGGGGACGACACAAGATCCGAAGTGTTTTCCGCCTTCATCCTCGTGGCGTAACCATAACCATGCCGTGCGACCTTGAGGATCTTGGTGCCTGGGGTAGGTGGGAAGCAGAAAATTCCCGTGCTAAGGTTGATGATAACCGGCATTTTCTCGAGTTGCTTCGCTTCGCCGTCGGTGAGCTGTATAAACCCAACAGGTTGACCAGAGGCGGAACTGGTATGGCTCAAGTTGACCAGAGTGTTAGACCAAGCGCCAGTCGAGAGGATGACTTGAGATGCGGGAATGGGACTTCCTTCGGCAACATTCACTCCCACCACCCGCTTGTCTTTATACCTCAAAGACGTAACTCTCCCGCGGGGCCCGGTGAGGAAAGACACGCCAGCTTCACTGCACTGAGCGCTCAACTGCCGAATGGCTCCCGCCGCATCAGCCCAGCCCCCGTGGGGATTTCCCAATGCCTCGAGGCCCTCGAAATTCACCTGAATCCCGGGGTACGCGCATGCCAATGCATCTCGATTGGGATACTCGGTGATCTCTTGACCCAGAGCCCGGCTAACCTCTCGGCTCTTCTGGACGTATTCGTTGCCCTTCGCCTTGTCGAAAAGCATGACAAAACCCGATTCGTGATAGTGATCTTTATAGCCTCTCAGCCAGCCTTTATGAGACTCACGAGCCATCTTCGCGTACAAGGGGTCGGCGTATTCGACGCGAATAATGCGGGAAATGTCCACGCTGCTTCCATCGGGCACTGGGGGAAGATAACGATCTAGAATCGTTACCTGACTGTAGCCCCTTGTTTTCAGCTCAAGAGCAGTCGAGAGTCCAAAGACTCCTGCCCCGATAATAACAATGGGCTCGTTCTTGCTTCTTGGGCCCTGACGCGACATGACGAGGGGCATTGGCGGATAAACACAGGCCAGATGTGGTGTGGGAGGAATGGAGGATGATATTTTGCTGTAAGAATACCGCAACGCGCAATGGCATTGGAGGCTTAGAATATGTTCTTAGTTGGTCAAAATTGATTCTGATCAATTTATAGAGCAGTCTTTATCAAAGGGCCAACTTGAGAGACGAGGAACGGAGGCCGGCTCTGGACATCATTCCCCAAAGAAGTGGGGCCGGAAGGCATTGGAGCGGCAACGAGTGCATTTTCCGATTTGATTGATGTCTACTTCCAGGTCCACCGCAACCATAATAACTAACCTATTTCGTCGGGCGAACTACAAGTGCCTCTGCTAGGTCCTCTGGCAGGGCTAATCGATCCGTGGTTTCGCTGGTTTCGCACCCTCTGGCGATGTCTCTGGGCCCTAGAACCTTGCAAGCCGTGCATTTTCTACCATCCGGGCCCACCTTTCATGTTGGAAACAAGGTTGTATTCCGGGCCCACCACAGCTGGTCGCATTGATAGGCCTGCCTTAGTATATGCAGGGAGCCGTATATGTAAGACGACCTCCAAGCTAATCGACTTTTTGGAAGGTGAGTTCCATACATTCTCTCACCGGGTCGACTTACACCGTCGTCGGTTCAGATCAAGATAAGCTTCACTCTCTTATCAGGCCCACTTCCGCTATCGCCATGGCCATGAGCCATTTGACTCAGTTTACACAGATGTGCCCAGTAAGATTGCCATTCTTCAAAACACACCACTAAATGACTACATTGTGTGAGTGGAGAAAATAGAGTCGCGTTTTTAGAGCCTAAGGTAAGTAATACACGGTCACCCCGCTCCGCCCAATGCCCACCAGACCTTTCCCCGAGCGTAGTTCCTCAAAACTTCTCTGACTGTCTCCTTCCCCAGTAGAGAAGGCCCTGAAGACTGTTGATATCACACATTAACACATCAGGGACTGGGATGCCAGTCTAGTTTAGGTCATTAAACGGAAAATGTACTTGCTCTGCATTCACCTTGGTAAACGACTCTTATAAGATATATCAACCACCAGAGCACACTTATCATCGCGCACGCAAGTTCCCATCCAATAGAACGGCAATCTTCAGCACTTGATCTATCGAGCAATTCCTTAATACCGCTCGTCCTCGGAGAAGTGCTTCGGCTCGAAAGGAAGGGAAACGGCGATAATAGCAATGAGGCCATAAACACCAACAAGGACCCAAATCGGCACAGGCGTGTTCAAGTTGCCATAGATTGCAATGATTGGGGCGGATAATGATGCAACCCTTCCACTCGCCATACTTAAACCACATCCAGTGCCACGCAAAGCTGTTGGCAAGATCTCTGGCGTGTATCTGTGAAGATCAGATAATTAACCCTATGGAAGGGGCAAAGACAATTGTATCCAAAACTTACGAGTAGAGAATGGCGTAAAATCCATTCTGCCAGAAGCTGATCATGCAGGAAAAGGCAATGTTGCTCCCTTCGGTCCGAACGCTGGTGAAACCTCCGCAAAAGGCGGCTGCGATTAACGCTGTCAGGGCCATTGCCCGTCTTCGACCAAGAAAGGGGACGTTGACAAGTACGGTGGCTAGAATTGGACCGAATATACCGACAGTCGAAGAAATGCTATAATCGCGATACGTTTGAAAGGTTCTTCCAGTTCCTAGGTCTGCTCCATTGTTCTGGAGATATATGGGAAGGTACATCGAGTAAATTGGGTATCTGATTGTCCCACGATATTAGCCTAGATCTCCAGCGTGCCCCGTTGTTACGGGTTGTTATGATGTATTTTGGTGAAGCTCACGCAATGCCGATGCAGACCCAGAGAGCCAACACTCCAGAGGTAGAAAAGGCCATCTTCCGGGTATTGAATAGGCCCTTGATGTTATTGAGGCCAGCGAGAATTGATCGTTTCCGGCTTCTCGTCGCCGCCTGTTGAGTGTCAAGGGAAAGAAATTCATTGGCCGTGATCATAAAATCGGATTTGTTTGTTCGGGCGATTTGGCCCAGAACCACAACAGCCTCGTCAAATTTGCCGGTAGCAACAAGCCACTTCGGAGATTCCTCCATCTTCATGAAAAAGATACGAGCGGAAGCCATTATCAAAGCCAACCCTCCCACGAGGATGTACTGATATCGCCAACCCATGTTGCCGGAGTTGGCACAGGTATCGGGATTGCTTCCTTGTGGGCATGAATACCTCGCAATGAGGGGCCATGCTGTTTATGACATTTGGTAAATATTCTGGCAAAGTTCAATTTTCATTTCTCGAACCTACCTAGCAGTCCACCAATAGCATTTCCGAGCCCCCACCAAAGAGGAAGCGCGGTGAGGAGGTAATCTTTCGACTTGGGCAGCGACTCAATGAATACGGTGAGATCAATAGCAACTATATCCGGTGAGCACGAGTCGTCTGTGCAAAGCACGCACTCCTCTAGGTCAATGGACCTAACTTACAGTTTCCTCCCGCTGCCAGACCTTGGAATCCAACGAACACGCACAGTGCAGCAAAATTGGGAGACGAAGCTGATACCAAAGCGAAAATGGTGACGATTAGCAAAGATGTCTGCCAGACTCGCTTTCGGCCGAGGAAATCCACGGTCAGGCCGCAGCCAAGGGCGCCAACGAGACTGCCGGCATAGAGCGCCAAGATGATCAGTTCGGGATACTTGATCTCCCACTGCTTTGTGACTTGAGGTAGTGCCAAGCTCACAGCCACGGGTAACATCTAAATTATACAGTGAGACTTTGTGGACGCTTTATAGACTAGTACACTGAGGTCGGGAGTAGGCAGCTTCGTAACTTACCTGATCTAGCAGAAACCCAAAACCACATGTGCAGAAGAGCTGCCATTGATAGCGGCCGAACCCGATCTGACCAAGCGCATGGTTGATAACGGCAAGATTATGCGCCTGTCTGTCGATTTCGTCGTTGAAGACAGATCCCTCGACGCAGGAAGTAGTTCGGGTGGGTTTGACTTTCTCGTCAATGTCAATAGAAGCCATCGTATCTCGGAACTTGTAAGCAATATGATACTGATAAAAAAAAAAAAAAAAAAAAAAAAAGTGCGCTGTGGATAGAAGAACAAGATATTTTCTGCGAGATACGCCGGAGCTTTCTCCTTCTGAATAGCAGGCCCTGGGAGAGCTTTTATATCATTGATCTCTGCGAAGTAGCTCCCGATAAGCTAATCCAGAAATCTGGGGTAAGTACCCCAGATAAAGTCCTCTGGATCCACAAATCACTAGCGTGGGCTTAACCCGCATGGGCAAGGCAAGGGTCTCATCCCCGATGGGACCAGATGCCGCCTAGATCCGCTCACGTGAGCGGATAGGGAGATTAAACATCGATCACCTCTCCGCCTTGCCCGGAGTCCGGTCTGTTCCTCAAATCAACTCTGCCTCTCAAGTCTCAACTATACTCCGTGTTCTTACCTTACATCCGTCTCACGACGCCCGGAACCTCATGCATAGCAATAAACGGGTAAGGCATGCCTGTGAGCCGTGTCGGTAAGATGAGTCCGAGCCCTCTTTTATCTGCAAGTTTAATTGGCTAAGGTGTAACTGCCCGCGACTCGCCGCCATAGGCGGAAGAAGACAAAATGCCCCGGCGAGAAGCCTGCATGCTCGTTCTGTCAGCGGTTGAAGCAGACCTGCTTCTATCTCAATCGCGAACAGCCGAAAGCTGCTGCCGGACCAAGAGTTGCCAAGTCCAAGTTGTATGTACTTCTTCTCTCTTTGGACTCTTATCCGATTGCTCATGCCATAGTTTATCAACATTTATCAACAGGATACAATTACGTAGACGCCAGAGTGTGCACATCCAAGCTCAGCAACCGAATGATCTCTCACAAGATGGCAATGCCACACCCAAAACCCCTTCACAAATTGAAGAGTGTCTGTCGACAGCTGCCACTGCATGGTATGCTGCACAGTATTACAGTCACTTTAAAGTCAACCTCTGACATGGCTAATCGTGGTAATAGGTCTTTCGACAATCCTGAGCCACCAGAAGAGGTGGCGGACCATCTTTGCGAGATCTACAAATCCAGAATCTACTTCCAGCCGCTACCGCTCTTCCGACTGGATAGCTTGCGAGCTCGCCTCACTGCGTTTCCCCGGTTTTTACGTTTTAGCTTTCTTGCACTTGCAGTGCGCTACTCAGATCATCCTCACTACGCTGGGGTGCGCGCTGATGCTATTGAATTTTATGCAAAGTCGGCTCAGCGCACTGTTGACGATATCGTAGCTGAGGGAGCCGCGAACATTAATGTTTTACGGGCTCTCTGCTTGTTATCTCTGCACAACATTTTAGGTGAGCTTAAAAGTAGTAGTTCTCTAGCTCTGGTGTTGCCTGGATGTTGCTAATCTTTAGCGTTCTTACGAAGCAAAACAGCCGCAGGCCTGGATGAACATTGGCACAGCCGCTCGCTTTGAAGTTCTGCATCGACTTGCTCTCCAAGATCAACCAGAATCGCGCCAGGAGGCCGATATTCACTCGAGATGCTCCTGGAGCATCTTCTTGCTTGAGACGATCTTTACACCTCAATTCACAGTTCTCCGACAAGATCCAAGTCCTCCTCCATTCCCGGAAAGTGTACCTATTCCTCTGCCTCTCCCTAGCCATATGAGACAGGGGCACAGACAAGGCAGAGCGGATGTCGAAGGAGCTGAGGTACGCGACTTAGGAATAAACACTTATTCCCTTCGTTCAATATCCGCCTGGGGAGAGATTATGGCTTATCTGCATGCCGTGCGCTGCGGGGAAATTGAGAATGCGTGGTCATCTACGTCCACCTTCAACCAATTGGCCATCAAGCTATATGATCTTGACGCTCAGATCTACCCCAAACACCTACTCCGACATACCGCATTCCAGAACTGGCACCTCGATGAACTCCAAAGAGATGCGGAGTATTGGAGGCCCTGGATACTGATGCAGTTTGTTTTTCATGGTTCCCATGCCCTCTTGAACCACCCGTTCGTCCACCTGCTCGCATTGCGTGGCAATAGTCGGGCCACTCAATCTGGTTTCTTCCTTCAGAAGACTATCGACCAGGCTCTGTTCCATTCTGCTTGGATAGTTCGGTTGATTGATACCTGCGAAAGTCTCGGGTTCGAGGTCAATGATCCTTTGATTGGACATATAGTCGCCGCTACATTCACAATCTCATGGATTCTTCAGTTTGCCCGAGACCGGATGGTGTCCACAAAAGCACTTGAAGGCATGGGCAAGTGCGAAAGATTTATCCAGGGTATATCTAGGACGTGGCCTCATATTAACTATCAAGTATGTCTCGACTAACACAGAAAGACTTCCTTGCGAGATCTAAACGGACTGACGTGGATATCTACTAAATAGCTCGAGATTCTCCGAGATCTCCAATCTACTGCGAACGAAGCTCGGAGCAAGTCCTCCATAGATGGTACCGATATTACTTTCAAACCGTCCATGCTGTGGAAAATATTAGATTACAGTATATCACAGCTATCGACTACCTGCTGGGGCCCTCATCAGTCACACGGGGCAGAGGGTAGCAATTTACATGCGAAGCTCCACGTCGACACCGTCTTCGTCCACCCTGTTGTGGAAGAACAAGCCGAACAAGAGGATACTGGTTGCTTTATTGAGGAGCCAAACGAAATGTTTGGAGATTTATTTCCCGACAACTTTCACTTCGACTACTCTCTACTGAACTTCCCATAATGATAATCGGAGCCTATTGGCTCTGGGGGGTGACCTCCGGTAGATATTTGTGTTGGCGAAATAGCCACGGAGCTGCCATGTGAGTTTCCACGCGGCAGAGGTCCACTGCTCGCAAAAAATAAGAAAGAATGTCGCTCATGCGGATCCGTTTGAGTTCTCTGCCCATGATTGTGACTGAACATTCTTTCAAGAGATCCGTTGTTGGCAAGGAAAATTTCGGACGGCTCCGATGTCTTTTTGGGGAGACTTCTGAGTTATAGCTCGTATGCGATTCGGGTAGAATTTGCACCCTGCAACCTTCTCGGTAGTAGTTTGCAATCATTGCATCATTGTTGACCCATATCTGCCTCAACATGGAACTCGCCGATGTCGTATTTTACCTCCGTCGTACAGGCGGTGGTTATTGGGCATGAGCCTCGATCTTGGGATCCGTATTCGACCATCAACGCTGTCCTCATGACTTTAAGTCGCACGCGATTACTTCTTCATAAATGGCGCAGTCCTTTTGCCCATGCAGATACCTACTTCGTATTGATCACATTTGTACTACTGCTAAGGCATGATGATAGACCGAGAATTGAAATCTTGGCCACCATATTCCCATCTAATGCGTTTATATATAATACAATATTAACACAATCCTTCCCCAGAAATGTCTAAGGTCCTTAGACAAATAAAAGAAAGAAGCAGATACTGTTCCGGCGTGACAGTATCTCGAAATGTGAGTGTGGTGACCGATTCATGGGGGATGACCAGATCCGAGATATTGGGACGTGTTGAAAGACTTTGGCGGATCTAGTATCGAATAGCCCAGGCGCTGACCTAGCTCCCTCAGGGCTATGACCGTTTCTATTATGGCGTCTCCAAGGAATGCACCCTGGACGATGGCTTCCAAACCTTTGTGTCTTGGATATCGATCGGCATCCTTTCTTTTTCTCTAAAATATTTAGAACACAAACCGATCAGTATGATCAGCAACGTTGCCATAAAATCTAAGTTTTTCTTAGCAAAGTATATGACTAGAGAGGCCACGGGCGCATTGAGCCAGTCCACAACGTTCTGGAGGGACGTGATTGGGTCCTTTCATTTACTACACTTCTATCCTTAAAACCAATACTTCAACACTCGATGATAATGCGGCGAAAATGCCAATCCTACTTGATAGTAGTGAAAGCGGACAAGGAGATCAGGTCAGGAAACATGCATCCGTCCGCCGGAAAGTTGGAAATGTGTAAGTGGGTGTTTATGTCATTACTTCATTTCGCAGTGGGCTTAGCGTAATCTTGAAGAAGAGCAACATCAGCCGGTTGGTCTCATTCGTGTCGGGTGTCGGGACTCGGAGGGTAAACCGGCTCCCTCGGTAAACTGCTTTTGGGGAAGCGGAGCATGGTTGGTTGTGGAGAAGCGATGCGGGGAAGCTGTGCTGATACGGAGATTACCCTCTGTTAGCATCAACAAACAAGAGGGTGACCTGATTATTGAAGCGTGACGTCGGATTTGAAGCCTTCGCGAACCGCGGTTAGTTGGGACGTATCGCTATGAGATTGACTCTCCATGTTGCATTTCGTTTGATTCCAGGCCGTAGTCCCGTCGTCGCCTCGCCTTTTCAGACATTCGGACACTCAAATCGTGGAACCGAGCTCCTGCGTCACTTTCAATCTCCCCGTTTTACGAGTTCCGCCCCGCAGAAATTGAAATCACGCCCAGCATACCAGAAGATGGCCACTGCGTTTACACTACCCGACGGGAGGGCTCTCTCCTATTCATTCTCAAGCAATCCCAGCAACGGCCCCGTCGTCCTGTTGGCCAATTCCCTTGTCTCAGGCCACACCTCGTGGGACCGTGTGGTCGAGCGCTTAGCCTCCGACGGCTTCCGCCCTCTGCGTTTCGATCAGCCCGGACACGGCAAGTCTGGTGTTCCGTCTGACCTATCATCCACGAGGTTTTCATCCATGGCGGACGATGTAGCAGCGCTGCTTAAGCACCTCAACCTTTCCAAGATTCACGCCTGAATTGGCGTCTCCATGGGCGCTGCCATGTCCGTTTACTTCATCGCCCAGCACCCTGGCATTGTCAACAAAGTCGTCATATGCGATACCATCTCCGCGTCACCGGTTAATGCCGGTGTTCCGGATGCCTTTGGAGATCGAGTTGCTCTTGCGCGCAAAGAAGGCTCTTTAGAGAGCATCCGACAGGCGACGCTGGAACGATGGTTCGGCAAGGAGTGGCTCGCTGCGAATCCCCAAGAGGCGGCCCGGATGAATGAGTCGATGAAGTCGACAACGGTCGATGGCTTCGAGACGTGCTGTGCTGCCTTGCGGAGCGCCGAGTTCGATCTGGAGCCCCTTTTGGGTAAGGTCGGTGCAGGGTGTGAGGATGCACTGCTTGTTGTCGGAGAGAAGGATGCGGATTTACCTGTTAAGATGCAAGATATGAGGGCCAAGATTGCCAAGGGGTTCGCTGACGCTAGAAAGGAAAGGGAGGTGGAGCTCAAGGTTATCAAGAACGCAGGTCATGTGTGTTTTGTGGATGGATTCGACCAATTTTGCGAGACTGTCATTCCATTCCTCCAAAAGTAGAGAACCCGGGGTGGCCTTGAGATGGTAACGGGAAACAACTAGGGTAGGGAGAACCTTCCCAAGGATTAATATAAATTGTTAAGCAATATTGCCCCACTCTTCCTTCGTACGGCCAAGTTGATCCGACAAATTTCAAGTGCCACAGTAGCATTCGGCCGTAGGCATATAGCCTCATATAGCTCCTCCACATGTACGCCAGCGGACTTCATCCGGGGTAGCACAGAACTAATGAAGGATTTTATACTACTTGCGTTGCGCACAAGAACCTACTCTCTTATGAATCCTCGCCGAACCACCACGCCTCCACGAAGCACGCAAGAACCGCCCCAACGATGGACAAGACAATCCCATCCCCCAGGAACTATTATTACAAACATGCCGCGATGGCTGTGCTGATCAATTTCCTATTACCAAGGCTACCCTGTGGTGCAAACTAATACAGTACAGATTCCTCCCTAAACTTAGTTTCCATTTCCAGCATTCTTCTTCCCGCGATGATGAGGCTCGCGGGCCTCGACACCCCCCCGGGTATTGGCATTGCCTTGGTTCTTCCGACCCCGGTGGTGAGGCTCCCGTCCCTCAAGGTCTCGCTGGTTATTACCGTTCCCTTGATTCTTGCGGCCGCGGTGATGGGGCTCTCGGGCCTCAATATCCCTCTGCACATTGGCGTTGGCGTTGGCGTTGGCGTTGGCGTTGCCATTGCCCTGGTTCTTCCTACCCCTATGATGGGGTTCACGGGACTCAACCTCCCGCCGGTTGTTGGCATTGGCGGCCTGATTCCCCTTTCCCCGGTGATGGGGTGCCCGAGTCTCGAGGTATTCCTCTTCTTCGCGCTTGTTGTTGGCGTTTCCGTTCTTCTTCCCTCGGTGATGAGGCTATCAATCAATGATTAGCTTGCGCTACTGGTACAACTCCGCTATCCAATAGTGCCAATAGTAATACATACCTCGCGAACTTCAATGGGTTCGTAACGAACAGCGAAATCCTACAATGGCTCGATCAGCAAGAGTGGCCTTACGACGCTGTTAAAAGGGTCAATGTGCCGTGTTTACTCACAGGGTCCCGCTCAACCAAGGCATCGTGGACGGGCACAGTCAGAGCCGACACGGCAGAGCTGGCCGCGGCCAACACAAGGAGAAATGCCTGAGAACGCATGGTGACGAATGTGCGTGGGTAAAAAAGGGGGGAAAATAAAAAGGGAGTAAAGCGAAGCGACGTGTCTTAGAAATGTATATACCAGGCTATCTCAAATAGCCTATAAAGGTAAGATAACGAAGTGAACAAGGGCTCCCAGCGCCGAAAGGACCAAGACAAGCCAGTACTGCAAACAAGAAGCCGAATCTGGAATGGTGGGTGAGGAAGTGAAAGACGTGAGAGACCAGATGAAGGGTGGAGATGATGACAACTCTATATCCTCCTGGCCCTTAGCCTTGAGAATAACCACGACAGAGAGACGATGACAGGCTAAGTGCCGTTACCCGGCCCCAGTCGGTGCCTGTGCCTGCATCTGGACTCTGGAAGCCTCGGGCGTTGGCATTTCGTCCGTGCTTCGAGCGGCCATGAGACTCAATGAGGCATCCATGACAATAGGCAAAGAGGCCCCCCTCATCCTTGGCTCCATGCCTGCCCCGACGATTTAGACCTGCCGCAGATGCTAGTTTCTGCGGGCGCATTATTACTGGCAGGTCGTGGTAAGCTTGCTTTAACTCCCATTGCCCAAAATAAAGTTCACGATACACTTGACAGAATCTGTGACCAGCTCCTCGGTTTCAAAAAGCCGCTTGCCATTGACGAGAAGAACCTGTGGCACTAGTGCGGCCTTGAGAATTTAGAGGGGCGCAATGAGGATATCGCGGGAACAAGTCTAAAACCTAACCTGGAGGTTGGGATAGTAGCAGTTGAACGCCCGGCTAGAGTATTCTCGGAGGCGACGTCCAACGGTTAAATCGGCCAGGTGCACTGGCAACTTTTCCCGCGTCTCTCTCTGCGGAGAACTGGGCAATGCTCGAAATGGGCATGGCTCGCCTATTCTGGAGACCTGGTCAGGCCTTGAGGTTTCACTCAGGGTCCCCAGTTCGCTCTCCCTTGATCATCGCGCGCGGTGTGTTAGGGCCACGACCCCTAACTGGGCCCTGAATTGATGTTGGTCGAACAGCCAATGAAACCCCGTACTTTCCCCCAATCCCTGCCCTCATATTGCCGAGGAGAGGTATGTAGCAGCGGGATCTGACACAAGTTGTCAGGCGCGCAGGTGCCATCCATCCTATCGACATCTTATGCCTTCTTCATGTTCTATGACGATCCTGATCCATGGTGATCTCAGGGAGTCATCTAGGATCTGGGGAAAACCGGCACGTCAAGTCGCTTAGACATTCCCTCTAACACTCGCGACTCCACAATAAGGACAAAAATGCCAGGTTTCACCTCGTCGACCGTCTCAACTCCTCGGGAAAAGGAGTAATGCCCACATGGCGGGTAGTGCATCCCAAATCTGGCGAACGCCCGAAGCTTCCCACTTCACTTCGTGATTGAATGCGGGTATAGATTCTATGAGCAGCTTGGTCTCTCTCTAGAACTAAATCACCTCCCCCCAATCTCTAGTTCCATCGATCTTCCTGTTTCTTTCTTGTTCGTCTACGCAGGCGTTTTTTCTCTCATCCATCTATTTTTTTTCCTTCGAGCATTTAGTAATTTTTGACCTTGGTTATCCTTCGCTTCATCTTCTCATATAACAACACCCAATCTATAGAGAACCCAGGATGGCCAAGACATACACTTCAGTGCCTCTTGATGAGGAGCAACCCATTCTACCGCCTACGAAAGAGAGTTCCTTCACGACTAAGCTTCAATACGAGAACTGCACGTTGCGAGAAAAGGTTGCACGACTCGTCAAACAGTGGATATGGGTGATTCATACCATCCTACTCTCAACCTCGTTCTTGCTTTTCCTACTCGCTTTCTATATGACAAGAGCACAATTCAATGCAACAGCATTTACGACAGCCTTTTCAGCCTGGTGTAAGTTGTTGAGTACACTTCCTTCCCCTTTTAACGTAGAACATGTTGTGCTGATCGATCCGAATTCTCAAGCGCCGGCCCTCAGCGTCGTTGAATATGAGGTGGTTAAGTTCGATTTACTGCCGACCATGGACCAGCCATCCATTTACGTAGGCAAAGGCCCAGGGGTGGACAAGGCTTGGGAGGCCATCACAGGCGATGGTACGTCCCGAGATCTCTAGATCCTATCCCACCCGCTCTCTCTCTCTCCCCGTCTTCCTTCGCCCCTTTGACTAACGATGAATGGAACCTAGTCGGCGATCAGATGGTATCGAAAGATGAGGCCCTTCGGCTTGGGCTAGCGCCAGACTCCATGACGATAAAGCATCCCGTCACAGGCGTTGAAGGATTCCGCGTAGGCATGGAAGTCTTTCACCAACTCCACTGCCTTAACCTTCTCCGCCAATTCTCCTTCAAGGAGTATTATTCTCATACTGGGGGCGACGTGGAAACGGACGAGGAGGACTTGAGAGGCCATGTTGGTGTGTATTCATCCCTTGCCTTCCCTCTCCAGACCACTAGTCGCGCGAACAGCTTGATAAAATGTCCATTGTTGAAAAAAAAAAAAAAAAAAAAAAAAAAAAAAAAAACTAACGAAAGCAACCTCGCAGACCATTGTATTGAAGCACTACGCCTTGCTCTCATGTGCCAGAGCGACATTGGCGTCTTCAGCTTCCGTCATTTTGAAGGGAGTGAGGGCCATTGGCCGGATTACGCCACTACGCATACGTGCCGCAACTTTGACAAGATTAGAGAGTGGGCTACTGAGAATGCCGTGGTCTGGACAGATGAAGAATGAGATACGGGGGGTTGTTGCTGGTACATAAATGTGACAAATATATCTACCGGGCGTTTGGCCACACTTTTTTTCTTCTATTGTCAATTGATTGCCTTCGGAGCACAGCCCAAAGTCTCAGAGCCTTGTCATCAAAGGCTCTCACTGAGGCTGGGCTCCCCGCAGGGTGCATCAACTTCCTCCCCTGCAGTCCGGAGCGAGCACCAGAAATTACTGGATTTGCCGTGAAGCACCCGAAAGTTCGCCACATCAACTTTACAGGCAGCGAGCGCACCATTATTGCTGGCTGGGCGGCGTCGTGTCTAAAAAAGTGCGTCTTCAAACTTGGTGGAAAGGCTCCTGTGATTGTCCGCCAGGATGCCAACATCGATGATGCTGTAGAGGCGATTGTGTTCGGCGGTCTCGCCAACAATGGTCAGATTTGCATGTCTACCGAGAGGGTCATCGTTCATGAGTCAATTATGAGCAAATTCTAGACGAAACTAATTTCTCGCGTGGAATCTCTCAAGTGCGGCAACCACTTAGTAGAGGAGGTCTCTATATCAGGATTGTTTACACCTACGTCAGCGACAAGAGTTCTCGACCTTGTCAAATCAGCTGTCGATTCCGGGACATCCCTTCTCACAGGAGATTTGCAGATCAGAGGCTCAAACAAGACTATCATACGTCCTCACATCTTAGAAGGTGTAACTAGGGATATGGACCTAGACCATAAAGAGTCCTTTGGCCCTGTCATGATACTCATAGAGTTCGAGACGGATGAATCTGCTGTCCAGTTGGCCAACGATAGTGAATTCTCTCTCTGTGCGAGCATATTCTCCTGCAACGTCATGAGGGCCATGGACCTAGCCAAGGAGATTCGAGCTAGTAGTTGCCACATGAACGGGCCAACCGTGTATATCGAACCGACGCTGCCCAACGGAGGAGTCGGCGGGAGCAGTGGCTATGGTCGTTTTGGTGGAATTTCCGGTGTGGAAGAGTTTACGGAAAGGAAGATAATCAGTTTGGCACAGCCGGGTATGAAGTACAATTTCTAAGGCGAGAGTGGCCCAGCTGTTTACTGTAGCTGGGAGACCTTGGCAGTCAATTCAAGGCGTACCAGTATTTTGGAGAAATCATCACAATAATCAAGGACCATCGTTCCTAGATCCGTGCATGCGCTTCCCGCCGAACCAAGGGTCAAACACCGGCCAAAATTTTCCTTGGCCGCCAGGCTTTTCGCAAGAACCCACATTCCAAACAGGACTGACCAGCTACCTAAACGCCCGTGACGTTGAAATAGTTGGCCGCCACAGGCTCCCCGAGCCCAAGAGTAGCAATGAGCTCCGCCACGTCTACACCGAGCCTATTATTGAACCCGCTATAGTCAACTTGGGGCTCCTTGTACGCATCAGTCTTCTCAAAGAGGAGCTCGACGTAGTTGTGCGCCTTCGGCGGGGTTTCGGCCGGCGGCGAGGGACCGATGTAAGCGGCGGGGCCGGAGGGATCGGCATTTTCGAGGATGTAGAGGCCATCCGCATTGGCTTCTTTGCTAGAGGTGAAGCCGGCGACGAGAGCGTGGAGCATGTTTCGGCGGGGTTCGTAGTTGCCTGGAGTGAAGGAGGCAGGCCTAAAGAGCGATCGTCAGTGGCGGGATATACCGTTTTCTCCCCCCATGTCGAGGATATCAGAGATTTCCTATTTATTCCAAGGTCGAAATTAAACGTACACGGATATGTCTAGGTTCTCGTTAGTTTTGCTGGATCCCGACGTAAGGTCAATTTGGAGATTGGACTCATTGGAGACACGGACCAATAACCGCGAGAATGTAGGTGCCCTCCAATGGCTCGGCAGTGCCTATTGTAGGGAGAGCAGCGGTTTCTACTCAATTACTTAGAAGCCGTCTTTTTAAACTCGGGGTGGTTGGCTCGAGGAGGATATCAAGTCTGCCATACCTTCCTTCGTGAAGGAAGCGCCGGGCTCATCGACTGCCTTGCTTCCGAAACTAACTGCGAGGTTCGCTTCGACCGCGGGTTCGAATCCGGCAGGCGTCTGGCCGACAGCGAGGCCTACGAAAGTCGCGATTGATGCAACGCTTCGGAACTTCATAGCGATGGTATTTGGCAATTGGGTGGTAGATCACACTCGAGAATGGCACAAATCGATGCTAGTTGGGATATCGGAAAACTCGAGAATCAACGGCCATTGGCAGCAGACAGCAACATTCCGCACTTTATATCTAGTGTGCCCAATTATGACAGCGGCACATCCAAGGAGGAGACTTCGATTACGCGGACTTTCATATTACAGGATAGATTCATAGGGTGACGGATAAAGAAGCTCCTAATGTCAGAATAGAGACCGTAGAGTGCATCCGGCAGGGAAGACACACATTAATATAATTAAGTTACGGCTGCTCTCCGTGGTTGACGGCATTGGGGCGTCCAATGTCGGCCCAGATCACCGGGCTTGGCAATTATGCAATTATTTTCATAATACAAAGGTAATCGGTGAGCCTATTAACTGTGCATGCGGTGCGGGAGAGGAGTCAAGAGGGGTAAAATGAAAAATCGTCGAAGAGCGGGCGCACGAATTGACCTTTGTCCGAGGGGGAATAAAGAAGAACGGCCCGGCAGGATGGGTTAGTGATGCAATTAGTTTTGTAGCAACGACCCGCCAAGGTAGTCGCCGTTCAACTTCCCGAGATCAAGCATCAATTGCTGTTTGCTCACACAATTGGACCCAAGTCATGAATCATGATGTTTGTCCTTGCTGAACAGCTCGATTGCACAACAAACAATAATGAGCAAGGTATTGATAGATGCTTAGTCATGCTACATAGCAATTGAAGTCCAAGCGTGGCGAAATTGTCGCTTCAATTGGCTTTTTGAAACTGGTGAGCGACACGATACGATGAATGCGGGGGAGACTCGCACATTTCACGTCTGTGCCGGATGCCACGGAATTTCCCAAAATCCGTCCGACTCGAGTCTTCACAATCCCCATTCCCACCCGGACCATAGAGAATCTCAAATCTTCTAAAAGAGCTTCGCATCCGGAGCTTCATTCCCGTCCAGAGCGTTCTCCTTGTAAGCTGTCCTTCGATTTACCAGGCTCTTTACGAAGCTCAGAGCTGCATGATCTGAGGTCCGATCCCCACTCGCAAGGTACAAAGCAAAAAGCACTGATTCGGCCAACGAATGACGTGACATCGCCGTCTTGACGACATCGACATTACGCGTACCGCAGCTCATAAAAAGGAAGCCTACCGCCTTTCCAATTGAGCCACTTCTTTTAGTGAATTTTTAAAGTCTCACTGGAGAATCAATATTCATAAGATGAAGTTCACAGTTGTTCTGCCACTCCTGACCGTCTCCTCGGCTTTGGGAATCCCCAAGGTCGCGGTGTGGGATGACGAGTCTCATGTCAGGCCATTCACCATTTCCGACATTGATGCCCAGAACCAGAACGAGTATGTTCTCGATGAAGAATACGCAGATTTCCGTGCCCTCGGAGATCATGACGAGGACGAGCCCACTCTCACCATCTACGAGCTCATCAAAAAGAGCGATCGAGCGACCAAGTTCGCCGAGCTCATTAGTGAATACAATGATATTGTTGAACTCCTCAACAGTACTGATGCGAAGTACACCGTCTTCGTGCCCGCAGATGAGGCCTTTAAGCATTTCCCCTTCAAGAAGAAGCCCGATGCCGAGTTTATAAAGGCCGCCATCAAATATCACATTGTCCGCGATGAGGTCCCTGCCCGGGAACTCATCCAGACCAACACTCTCCCGACTCTGCTCGAGGAGAAACTACTCGGCGGCAAACCCCAGCGGGTGCGAGCGAGCTTTGGCTTTGGAGGACTGAAGATCAACTTCTTCAGCAAGGTCGTAAGGCCCGATATTGTAAGTGCTTCCTAGACGGTCCGCCGAGATAGTCTTGCGATAATTAATGTATATTTTAGAGGGCTACAAATGGTGTCATTCACGCTGTGAACCGAATCTTGCTCCCTCCAACCATGGTTGGGCGAGAACTCACCTTCTTCCCTAGCCACTTCTCCACCCTTCTCTATGCCTATGAGAAGACTAACTTTGTCGACTTCATCCACAACGTCAAGCTTAATGGAAGCACGGTATTTGCCCCAGATAACCGTGCTTTCGAGAAACTCGGCGCCAAGGCCAACGCCTTCTTATTCAACACTGAGAAGGGCCGCACCATCCTGAAAGCGCTTCTCAAGTACCAGATCGTAGCCAACGTCACCCTCTACAGCGACGAAGTGTACGGCAACGTCGACCGAGTCGGTGCAGAGGGTGTGGATCGCCACCATTATGACCTCACCACTCTCCTGCACGATAAGCATGTCAGCGTTGACATCACACGCTTTGGCGCCTTCACTAGCATCACCGTCAACGGACAGGTTCCAGTTGTGGCTCGGGATGCCGTTGCTAAGAACGGAGTTATCCAAGTTGTTGGCAAGATTCCTTTCCCGCCTCATAAGCACCACGATCATGATCATGACCACGACGATCACGAAGAAGAGGGCGAGATTGAAGTCGGGGATTTAATTGAGAGGCTGCAGGACTATGTCGACGAGGATGATAAGCAGTGGGTTGGTGAGCTGTAGGCTATTCTGCAAGTATCAGACTTGTATAGAGTGAAAGATGTGCATCTTCGTGTCAATCACGATGGAAGGGTCGGGATACATTGGAAGATTGCAAGAGATGGATAAGAATTACTTGGCTTGTAGCACGGTGCAATTTTCACTCCTTTTTCCTTCACTATACTCGGCTTAGGTCATCAAGTTGAGATGAAGTTATAGTATTCGAGGAGGTACATAACACGGAAATCTCTGGATGAGATTCCGCCGTCTCCATACACTGTCTGTCCCTTTTGCCAATCCACCTGCGTCGGCAATGTCAATGTTTTGGAGTTTCAGCTAATCGAGGGACAATATCGGCAAGTAAAGCTGTCACCCTCGCTAGATTCGCTTCGGTTCGATTTGCCTGGGGAGAGGAAATGCGGCATATGAGATCGTCGGTATTATCGTCGAGAAAGGCCTGTAGTCGCTGCCGAGTCATGTGGTCACCGGATGCGAGTGTAAAGTCTATAACCGTCAGGCAAATGCTAGAGAAGAAGTGCGTTAGCCGCCAAGTTTGGGGAAGGCCGGGAAATATGATAGGTAAAGAGGTGGTTTGGGAAGAGGAACTACCTTAGATTCGTGCCAGTCTGGTGTGTTCTGACGGGTGAGTTTGGGTATGTCATGATGGGTAAAACCTGCAAGTTTTAATAGAAGTTGTCAAGGTGGCTAGGACAAAGAAAGAAGATCACGAGTGGAGAGAGAGAACTGCTGCGAAAGAGAGGAAATAATGGCATTTTACTCCTGTGGACGGAGCACTCCACAACAAAGAAGAAGGAATTGGGGAATTGCCAAGAGGGAACCGGACCAAGCGCCATCAGGATTTGAGGTTGATTTGAGGTTCAGCACGTCCTATGTGATGGTATGGAGGACGGGGCACATATTCTGCGGCCGCTGTCGCATGGCTCATGCAGACAGGTGGCATGGGCACATCCCCTGTTTAGCAAGTTCCAGTTCTCGACCCGGGCTCCGTGTTGGATGCATCCGTTCGTGCTGACCGCTGACCATTTAAACCCGACACGCCGTCAGGGGAACCGTCCGGGAAACCGTCGCGCCTTGAGCCTGGCCCGTCTTGAGGAGAGGAGGAGGCAAAGAACGACCGGTCTCGTGTTATTATATTTCCACCTCGTTTTCAAATTTCAGTCCATCCCTCTTTGGTGCAGCAGGGACGCAGCCATTCTCATGCAGGGAGATGAGAATGGCTAAGGAGGGACTCAGATCTAGTGTTGAGGTCGTATTGGTGCCGCTGTTAATTAATTTCTTTGCGCACGGAACTCATGCCCACGTGGCAAGCCTGCATGTGCCGCAGCGGGCGTACAGACCCCGGACGAGGACAGACCAGGCTGTGGGAGGGGGGTTGCATCTGGCTCGTTCGGGGAGGCCGAACAGGTAGCACGATGGTGGCTGGGTCCGACATAACATGGGAGAGAACCATCATGGAATTGAAAATCACGATGATTGTCACCCCGCGCAAAGACCCAGCAAGGGGGGGGATCATCACCGAATTGGAAATCGCGATGATTGCAATACAAACCCTGCCCCATGCAAAGACCCAGAGACTTGTCAAAGCCAGGCCGATCACCCTCACCCATACACACCGCATTGCTTCGGCGTTGCCTTCCATCGTTCGAAGTTCAGCATTTTACTCGACATTCCCCTCACCGCTACACCTTCCACAGAGATTACAGTTACATGGTGGCGCGTCGAGAAGGGATATATCTGCAGAAGAAAAGCTCGCGGAACAGAAGCATGCCATATGTTGTCAATAATTCCAAGAATGTAATAATTCCACTCGGGCCTTAAGAAACTCTAGGTTTCCCAACAACACTCCCCACCGTCCTTCGGGGACATAGAGGTCGTTCTTGTGACTTGTCACTCAGTGGAGGGAGGAGGTGCATAGGGCGTTAGCTATCGGGGTAATCCCGAAGTCATTGTTTCAGTACTGACTTACGCCACGGAGCCCATCTCTGGTAGCAGAGTCTAGGAATAGCAGGATGGACTGCAGTGGCGGAATAAAGATATACGCGAAGGGAATGTTACTTTTTCCTTCCGTTTTCTTCCTTGTTCCCTTTAACAGCTTGCCCACTGTCTCCTAGATAGATAACGGTAAGCTCCATCAGACTAGACAACACGGGCCAAAAAAATGTAAACGTTCGTAGGGGTTTTCAGCATCTAAGATAATAGCAACTGCGGCGTTCGTCATATGACTGGAGGGGGAGGCCGTCGCGGACACGTTGAGTAGTAGTTTTCTCACCAATGCAGATTCCGTGTATCCCGGTGAGGATTCCCAGAAACAACGGTGCGTGCTCACTGAGTTCCCAAGTAGGTTTTGATTTCACACCCATATTGTTCCGAATCAGGCTCCGGGAGATGATGTCGCTTGCAGTCGCGCATTGACGGTTCCCCGATTGACGTGCCGACCAACCACGCTTCTGGTCAATGGCGATTCCCCAAATATCCTGTTGAATCCTTTCAAGGAGCTGGGAGAACATAGGAACAACGAAGTAGCTCAAACTCCTCAGACACCGACAGGGTATCGCTGCTTGCAGGAGAAACGGAAATGGGTTCAACTTGTCCAACGTCCCTGTTATATTGAATATAAGGGTAAAGGTTTTTAATTACATAATGAGGGATTAGCTATAGCATAACCGGGAGGAAACTTAGTATCCGTGAGATTTTCCATTCCCGAGGTCCCCGCGTCAATTGGCTTTCCTGCACTCCGCGCGATTACTCTCCCCTACGCCAAAGCTCCGCCTCGCCTTTGAGACCCGCTACTTAACTACCCAACGCGCCTCCTGCGACCGGGTCACTGTGGAAGCTATGGTGGAAAATCTCGGGCAGCCCTCAAAGGTCCATTACATGGCCAGGCGGGCGCTCAATCTCTTCTCTCGAAAAACTGAAGATGCACAACAGGCGAGATCACGAGGCTCTGAGGCCCCGACTCATGCCTCTCCCGCCGCCATTACGTACACCCCAGATTCTGAAAAGTATCAGAGTAGGGCAGCAGCACGTCTGAGAGATGGGAGCCTCGAATCCACGCTTCCAAAGGGATTCCCTGCTGAGTTGGCGGGTGATTTAGTTTGGGATGGTGAGACACTTGCGCAAACGTACAACTGGACGTTTGTGCTCAATGTTGACCAGTTGGAGGAGATAGAAGCTGGCCTGAGGTATTTCCAAAGTCGGTTCTCAAGATCATTTCATAATTGTAGTGAAGACTGTAAATATTGCGAATGCTAATGGCGTTCTTCAATCAGCCCTCAACCTTCCTCTCGGCCGTATCTCTGCCGAGACGTTTCCCCTCGCAACGCTCCGTCCTGAGCTCAGGCGGCTATCCAATGAACTTCACAACGGTCACGGATTTTTCGTAATCCGAGGTATCCCCGTTGACAAGTACACACGTGAAGAGAACATCGCCATCTTTACCGCCCTTTCCTACCACATCGCCCCCCAACGCGGCCGCCAAGACGGACTATTCCAAGGAAAACCTGCGACCGTCGTCCTAACGCACGTCACAAACTTGAAAACATCGCTTAACGAGCATATGATCGCAAGTCCGGCCTACACGACTGATAAACAAGTTTTTCATACCGATGCCGGCGATATCGTGGCTCTCATGGCACTGGAAACCGCGGAAGAGGGTGGTGCGAGTAAGATTGTGAGTACATGGAGGATATACAATGAGCTTGCCAAGACCAGGCCCGATCTAGTGAAGATATTATCTGAAGACTGGGCTGTGGAGGTATTCGGGAACAGGGGTCGGTGGTTTGTATCACGGCCTATCCTCTACCACCAGCCCGCCACGAGATCGACGCCGGAGCGCGTGGCGCTACAATATTCACGCCGCCAATTCGTCGGCTTCGGGGCGTTGCCGAGAAGCTCAAAGATTCCGCCCATTACCGAAGCGCAAGCGGAGGCCCTCGACGCGCTCCACTTTCTTGGGGAGAAGTTCTGCGTGTCCACGGGGTTTGAAAAGGGTGATATCCAATATATCAATAACATGGCCCTCTTCCACGCCCGAGACGCATATCGTGACTCGGATACGAGAAAGTAAGTTGCCTTTGATCCTGCAGTTGATCGTATCATGCTGATGGGTGGTAGGCGGCACTTGGTACGGCTATGGTTGAGAGATCCCGAGAACGCGTGGGAAACGCCTAAGGAATTAAAGGAACGATGGTCATACGTGTATGATAGGATGACGCCTGAAGCCCAAGTCTTTCCCCTAGAACCGTACATTCGTGTTGAGAGCTCGCGACAGGTTAAGCAATGACCCTGCCCGGGAAGAGAAGAAACATGACCATTCAAGGTTCCGGGTGTATGCTAATAGAATTCAAAGGACTTATTGAAAGACTCACTTGATAATTTGATTTCTTGCAACGGTGTAACGCGTTTTGTGGCCTGACAGTGGGACAGCCTGTGGACGTTGGGACTATGCGTAGACGAGAGAATCTCTAGAAAATATGAAGGGGCCCGATCCCTTTGTGAGTTCGCAATGCTTGGGTCCACAAGGGCTATAATGGGAAGGCCATCCGCGATCGGCCATGCGCGGCTCGATGTTAAAACTGTAGCTCCATTGGAACTAGAATATCAGGTAGGACTTTGAGAACAGAATACGGAGGGATTCTAGCTCTTCTCACTGACACTGACATTCTTGACATCCTACATGACCCAATTTAGGCTGAAATTAGATAAAATCACACACAGGGTCAACAGTTGATGTCTCCCTAGAAAGTTAGCTACCAAATATAATTAATTAAAGGACAAGACCGAAGAGTGCATGCTACTTAAAAGTCCGAACTTTTTTTCCTATTATTAATATTATCTAGAAATTTCCGCACGTACTATTTAACTTCGACCAATGATCGACCTTGGTATACACCAGAGGAGATGCTCGGGGTCAATCGTGTAACTCCAACCTCCGTTTACCTGTGTAACTGTATAATGGTGGCAGGTCGCCCGTTCGGGGTGGGACAGTCGACGCAACAAAAGTCCCCTGGACCTGGATGAATCCGTGAAGCTGTGCAGGCGCCACACTCGGCGTTGGGACGAGATGACCTTTGATTAGGCCTTTTAACACTGAGGGCCCTGTGGAAATGAGGATGATCTCCAGTTCCTCATACTTAACATGATATACGAAATCCTTCACTATAGAGAATCCCGGGGAGTATGCGTATATCTTGTCGTTGCTCTACTTAGCTAATAAGACCTGCACTGAAGAAGTAGGGCGTACCGTCAACGTCATCGATAAAGCTGCATGGGTTCCGGCTGGTGGCGGTGAGACGTGGGCAGTACTGGACGTCCCCATCCGTACGCCTACTCCAAATCAAATCCTTACCGGGTGACAATCGACTCCACCATCACCTCCGAGGCTTCGTGTTTAATTATAAGATTACTTATTCTATGTAAAATATAATATAACTCTCCTTTACTTCGTTGGACTAAGATCGGCTATGGCACGGGGTTCAAATGATCACGCCTTACCACGGCGCCAAGGCTGGATTTTAACACCAACATTCTATTCCAGTGATCCCCGTGTCAAAGACAGTTTGTATTGTTGTGGAATACGCACGCCTGTGGGAGCCTCTGCCAAGTTGGACGGGCCACTCGCCTACCGGACATTCCAGTTTACAGCATGCTGAAGTCACAGGCTGCCGTGTAATGACTGCGATTATGAGTGCCTTCACAGTCTGGCATCCCATGAGGGCGGCCCTGTACATGCCCATATCAGGCCTGCACGCGGATACCCAAATCTATAATACGCTCTAATGCATCTAGAGCCGCCGGTAGATAGGGATATAGTCTATTAAAACAAAGTCTTGTCGTTCACATCCACTATATCATAAGATAATGTCCTCGGCATGGCCCTTTTGGCCAGTGCGTCACTGATCCGTGTAGAAAGAGGCAAGCAAGAGGGAAGAGAACTTTTACAACAGATCCCAGTGATTTTGACATTTTTTATCACTGTGGTGTTTACTTGATTGCTGATCATATTCTGTGGGTATATTGACCACTCATGGCGTAAGTAGGCAAGCAGAGACTGCACATGGATTGATGGGACCCAGCTGATGTTTGAGAAACATGATGGAAGAATACATATTAAATACGGCAAGACGGCGCATCGTCCGAAGTCCTGGGCGCCTAATTAGACCATGCTCAACAATGCTCAGCCATGCTTTGCTTTCGCTTATTCCAGAATGTTGTCTATGCCACCGGAAGGTGGTGAGGATTGCTCTTCATCTCCATTAGCTGGTAAGGCTCATGGTTAGCTCTATGAGCATATCCTTATCGATAGGCTTCATGGAACGAGATACGTCAATCTCCATGGCTTCTGCAGATGATGCCTCGAGAGGTTCCCTGAGCCGGGGTATGTCGTTTGTAATGTTGGATTCGTCATCCTTGTCATCGTTAGACCTAGGCAAGTCCTTGTTAGAGCCTCCATCTGTCCCCCGCCTCTCGGCAGAGCGTGAGCGAAGAGGATCATTACGGAAATAGACAGCGGAGACTCGAAGATATACTCACCTACTAACTAACCTAGCTGGATGACCTCTTCGCCACCGCCGGGAATATCGGCCATTGACATCGAGCGGACTTGGTCAGATCGACCTTGCGGCGGGCCGCCTTGGTCCGAGCTGCCAACTATTAGTTCCTCTCTCGGTGTAAGATGATGCTAGAAATAGAGGCTTGGGGAGGGGACGCCCTTAGTTGAACCACATCCCCAGGCGTTCCGTCAAAGACCTGCATGGCATTGCAAGTAACGCTAGAATAGTCGTTGGGGGGCTACCAGAGGATATACCGGGGAAATCACCAAAAAAATCAAGAAGGCAGTGTGTCTCGTGAGGATAAACGAGGGCAGTTGGACAAAGATTTTTCAGCCAGAACCGTGAGCGAGTCCTTGATCAAGAACCGCTACAATATGGTCTTGGAGGCATTGCTTACCTTTCCTGACATCTAATAGCGTGGACCAGGAGCGTCTCGGCTTCGGGCCCACTGACGCCTTCCAGATTGCCCATAAGCTCAGCAACGCGAGCCTTGATACGGGCGACACGAGACTCGATAGCTGCGAAAGATGATGTATTAGCAGTAGCTCCAAACCATCCGACACAACAACCTCTCTGAAAATATCAAAATAAAATAGATTGAACGGAAGGGACTGGGATATACATACTCTCTTTACCATTAGTGTCATCCTCGGGGTCATGCTTTGGCACAGGAGCTGTGCTTCGCTGCGCTGCACGCTTAGCTGCATTCTTGCGGATCTGGGCCCATCGGTCAATAGCGGGCGGGACTTGGACCTTGCTTAGGTCTTCAATTGATGGATCGGGGACAGGGGCCACGGCTGGAGAAGGTGACCGAGCATGCCGGGCAATCGGGGGCGGGACGGCGTCGTCCGAGTCGCTATCGTCGGGCACGAATGCCGGCTGGTCAACGAGGGGGCCCTGATCGAACCGAGAAAATTCCTTCTTGGCATACCAACCTATCTCTTAACATGTATTCGCCCCCCCAATAAGACCGAACTGGGGTTAGGGTGCTTGGGTTGTAGGTATAAGTCCCGGTGGCCTCACCCCTTTGGCCTGCTTCCCAATTATGAGATCCGGGAACGTTTATGGACAAACCCGACCTGGGATCCTTTGGAGTATCGTATGGTGGCCCGGTATCGATTTCTTGGGCGTCGGATTTCAAGGGCAGTCCGTATTGGAGTAGGAGTCGCACACGTTGAAAGTCGCCTGGTTCAACAGGTATGCTACTCACTATCGTCGTTCCCTGTCCAATGGGAGACTCAGGGCCGGCGTCACCCTTGTGAATTGTGGAATCTGAGTCCGCAACCTCGATGACCTGCTTTTGCATACGAAACCACATCCCACAATCTGGTGCAGGGCTAGTCGAAATGAGCTTGGCTTCCGTTTCCAAGAAATATGATTACTTACCATTGGACGGTAACATCTTCCTGTGCGTCTGTTACTGTATGACAGCGTGGACAAGCACCGACGATTATTTCAGTGGTTTGGAATATCATGCTCATATTGATCTTCATGCCTCTTCGCAGACAACGATGAAGTGGCAATTCCGTGTTGAGGTCCCGGCCGGACGCGCTCTCTTCCAGGGCGTACTCTTGCCTTAGCACCATATCATGGCCCTTTTGGCCTTTAAAATAGCCCTTTAATAGACCGTTTAAGACCTAAAAATGATTAGTACCAGCCAGATATTAGCTCGGTTCACTGTATTTGGTGTAGACTAACCTCCCACTCCAGAGCATCTATCCATTGAGCAGGGATTTCAAGTTGGCGTCCTAGAGCGTCCTCTAATACGACAGGGAGTTCTCTTGTGGGATCCAGTAGGCGAATGAATATAGAGTTGGAGGCTGTAATCTGGAGATCAATGACGTTCTGAGAGAGTTGTATAAGTAGATTTTTCACCTCAAGGATGCCGCGTACGGCATCCTTAGCCACTGCTAGAATATTGCGGCTTCCCTTTTCTTGGGTTGCGAGTTGCTGGTTTACTTCATCAAGCCTTTGTAATTGTTTTTCTGTCTGCTGCTCATTCGCTGCCCGCTGCTCTTGCAGGAATTCAAGTAGTTCTTCTTGGCCGGTACATGCTCCTGACACTAGTTGTTGGACTTGATCGATTCGGGCTAGTACGGTGGCATTGTCGACCCGAGTGGATTTCCTAAAACAATTGCAGGTCAGCCTACAAGCTAACAATCATTCAAAGGGGGCGAGCGGGAAAGGATCCTCACTCTGCCACGAGGCTCGTTAATAGGGACAGCCTTTGCACTCCGTATTGTAGCTTGTCACGAAGATGTTGTAGCTTTTCCTTCTCTCTCATGGACCACTCGATTCGCTTGTATATGTCTTTTCTTTTCTTTCCAGATCCTCCAACAGTGAGACTATTTTTGTATCGCGATTGGAAATGATCCAGCGTATCCTGAATCAGGGTTGCGCACTCATTGACGACCGATTTGGAGACATTGACGAGGCCTTGGAGGTATGGCGAGAGCTTGTGCTGTTGATACGTCGCAACAACCTATAGGACATTTGAGGTTAACTAGGAGGAACTTGTTGGGGAGACCGAGAGAAGGGCGGGGGGCCCTTGCTTGCATCAAAATATGAACAAAAGTGTTGAGGTCGTTGCGGACTTGCTGGTACTCTTTGGCGCTCTCACTAACTTCCCCGCACCCTACGCCGACTGCGCGACCGAGTTGGATGGCAAGTTGGCAGAGCTGGATGATGTCGCCCAGACTGCCGAACGTGAGAGCAACTTCCATTGCGATGGAACCTCGACACGGCCCGTGAATAGTATGTAGGTGTGTAAAATAGCCTGAACTCCTACAAAAGAGATGTCGTGTGTACGCTGTTTGGTATAGAGCGGAGAGCTGCACACTTATTGTAGGGCTGATTATCCACCCAGTCAGCCAATTGTCTGCGCTGCTACCCAAATGCGCAATTCAAAAAGAGCAGCGCCCCATACTACCTCCAGCTTCAGCTTGGAATGAGCAGGGCAGAGGCTGTGCTGTGGCTTGTGTATTTAATGCTTATGCTGTCGTGGTGCCTTGCAGCTTGCCTGTGTCTCCAAAGTCGACTATTACGATCCTAACGCTCTGTCGACAGTATATCAGGTGGGTGCAGCTGGTGTGAGGGTCGGGGGCGCCTGTTACAAAGTAAGTGGGGCAGTCAAGCAGTATTCACGAGAACTGTAAGAGAAGTGCGTATTCAAGTATAGGGGTGTAGTGGTACTTGAATTGACTACTGGAGAGTCTTGAAAGATAAACTAGATATATGGTAGAGCCTGTAGTTATATAGAATATAGACGTTTCCCCAAGCTCTCTAAGGTGATCGGAGCTCTTTCTTGACTGATCGGAACCGATCGTTCGGTGATTGCCACTGATCACTTCTTGGTCCTCCGATCGCTTTCCTGTCGTTCATCGGCCGGTCGTCCGCAGCTATCCCGCTATTCCTTTCTGCTGTGTCCTACCGCTTTTGAGCCTGCATAAAAGTCGGCTCGTGACATCGACAATGCATTCTGCGATATGAGATCGTGGGATTAAAAAAATAAATAGAAAAGTTAAGTAAAACTAATAAAAGCTAAGCTAAAGTTAAATTAGGAGACGAGGGACTTTAAAAAAAATTATTTATATTAATTAAAATCTTATATATTTTGTTCGCGGCCCTACGAAATCAGCCTGATTCTCAGGACCAGGTTTATAGTCAGGCATCGCATTATTACTAATACTTGATATCTCCAAGCCCGCATGGTATCGCCGACCATGAAGTGTCTGAAATTCAAGAATGGTCGAAGCGATGGACGTTGTCGAGGATTCGGCTTCCTGAACTAGGGTAGGGTCGTTGTCTTCATATTGACCCCAGAAGAGAGGTCAATCAGTGGGCTTTAATTAACAGATTCTGAATAATATGCAGGTTGCTCACGTACGGACAGGTCAATGTGTTCAGTGACAGGTAGTGAATGCTGATCCGTTGCCGGAGCTGGACTCTCGTTCGCCATTTCATTCCAGTTTCAAAGGGGTTTAGGCAAGGAATAAATTTCGGTTGATACCGAGACGATGGTGTGGAGCAAAGAGCCCAGAAGCAAGCAGCGAACCAGGTCGCTCGGGATATCCGGACCAGATCTGATCGGAAAGTCGTGGGGGTTTCATTGCCATGAAGCCAACGACAGGATGTCTGGCTGATTTAGGTTAGTGTCGCTTTAAATCCAACAGTCCAGGCGGCCACGTCAACGGGCAGATCCGTCCTTAGTTCGGACAAGCCCTGAATTCTTTAAGGCGGCTGGCCCAATCGCATTAATGACCTCGATGTCTCCGTCTTCGATCTCATCATGATGTTTCAAGTACTTCAATATCTCGCACTGGAAGATAACGTGCATCGGAACATAAAACCAGATAGCATTCTCTACGTATTGGGGCAAGGCGGCTGATAGCATTTTCGGCTCGGAGGCATTGGTTAGAGTAACTACTACGAAGTCGCAACATTTGCTGTCAGTTTCCTCCACCTAGTTAAGCCCCCCCCCCCCCCCCCCCCCAAAAAAAAAAAAAAAAAAAAAAAAAAAACTGGTCGACGAATAAACTTGATGTTTGGCCACTCTACGTCGTGGCGCTATGGACTCTAGATGCTAGTCTATTCTGAAGGTGTCGAAGGATTTCAAGGCCGCTGGCAATCCCTCGGATGCCGTTTTGTCTATAGCAGCGTCTAACATAAATAACGTTCTAAACATTCAGAAATGGTGTGGATCGATCCGTAGGAGCCTCCCCTGGGCCACAGATGCTTACCAAATGCTGGAGCAGAATCAGAGTCAGCATTCCACAGGCCACAGTTCTACTTCTCACCTCGATATGGGTTGACACGAAAATTCCAGTCGCAACCATTCCAGCATAGCCCTCATCAAAGGTTCAGGGACTCAACACAGCAAGTCAGATTTTATTCATGAACCTCATGAAAGGAGACGACTTCACTTCAGCCTCATCCTCAAACCCCGCCAGAAGGCGGCCCTGCATCAACGGGTCCAGTGCAACCAAATCCGTCTAGTGTCAAAAGAATCGCAAGTCCGACCCCCAGCCAGTTCTGCATCACCAACTCGACATTCTCAAGCACAGATGACAGCCGGGCGGCCTGGTGACTGGAACGAGTCCCGGGACAAGCAGTTGGTCGAGTACGATTAGCAGGCGGTCGAATCCCGGGCAGATTTCTTGTCAATACCAACGACACCGCACCGGATACAGGCTGGCGCCCTGGATTTACTGTAGGGTGTTACAGAAGCAGTTGGCTACGCAGGGTGAACGATCAGCGATGCAGTGGCAACAGCATGAGAGTAGGCAAGAGCTGGGTAAGGTGTAATGAGTGGGCGCCCATCCCTCCTAGAATCAAATCAGAAGTTGCGGGTGCTTAACCCGCTGTACATCACTTCGCCCTTCACTTCCTCTAGCCTCACAGGTCACTCAAGCCTCTGAACTGCTCAGCATTAATATTGGCTCGGCCTGTAAATCATCAACAGCTTGCTCTATTCAACTATTCGACCATGCTCTATCAAAAATCACGCGGTGCATGGATGATGGTTGCAATTCAAAAGGGCCCACAAACAGACCTTGTGCGATCCTCCTGCGGTCTTCACCAAGACCAATATCCCATTACAATTTTAACACCTGATTCGTCTGTCATTCACTGCTACACAAGGAATTTGCCATTGGAGGTTAGGACCTTATGTAGGTCTCGTCCTATTGCTGCTGCAACTGGTGTTAGTCCCAGGATATGAGCCCGGGGTTCCCAATACTTGGCCGTGATAAACCTCGATCTTCTCACCACTGTAAGATGGTCAAGACGGTGGACTGAGCAAGGTAGCCATATATGCTAAAGAGACTGCACAGCAACGTCCCCTCCATGCATTTTACAGTATGGCCGAACTCAAGCCAGATTGAAATCCCTCTCCACACCCTCGGATTGTATAATGTAACGTTCAATTTCTCAGGGTAACAAAACAGCCCTCTCGCATGACCCGACCCGACAGCTTGGAACTTATCGCTTAGGCTGAAACCCACCCCACTCCCTCCAGGCCTCGTTCAACCAACCAGGAACAGGTGTTAGCCGCCTAGTTGTGATAATGCCAAGGATGTCCGAATCTCATGATTTTCCTGAGGTCCACATTCAGCTCGTCTCCTCCCGTCCATTTTCCCCCTCCTTTTCTGGCATCTAGAATGAACATATTTTGAGAGATTATGGTAAATCCTTTCCCAGTGAGGCACACCGCCCTTTACCATCCCTTCTGTCTTCCTCCCACTGATCTTTCATTTCCTACCTCGTTCGAAGAGGGATCGAGCGTCTGAATCATGCATACTCAAGCCCTTCGCAAGAATGCCATCACCTTTTTGAATGAAGTTCCTTGGGATCAAGGTACCCCTGTGCATATCAAGGCATTCAGAGACCATCTTCTCGACTTTCATGGCACAATCACGAGCCCAGCCTTGGTCGGTGATGACCTCGAAGCGGGACTCCTCCTCCCGAATGTTGGAGTTCGGAAAATCGGCCCTGGGTCGAATCTCAGCCAATTCGGATCACTTGCAACGCCCTATGAGCAGTTGAGTAATTCAGCAAAACTGCTTCTGGCACAAGATGCCACTGCTGGCCCGGTCTCGCCTTTTGATCGATGGTATCGTTATTACGATACAAATTTCGTCAGCCAGATTGTGGAAGGAACAAAGGCAATCCACCATACCCCAGATGATAGCTCCGCGTATATTCGATCTCCAGGTTTGCGTCCAGCTTTTCGTCCAGCTTTCCAAACAGACTGCCATACGAAATGCTGTCACGATTTGTAAGTTTCCGCAACTTTCTTCTTAGTCAAAACCAAGAAGGGTATTGACTCGACTTTGAGTTTACAATATTCGGCCAATCGCCTATATGAGTTGGATGGGAGGACTTGGAACGGAGATGGAAATCCCGTTGTCTACCCTACCACCTTCTGTCTCGGCTTCCCATTAGATGAGATACTCGCATCCCAGGACGTCGACCCCTCGGAACGCGATTCGTGGGCACACCTACTTCAAGCACACATTCTCGAGACTTTTCCAGATATGGCCGTTGAGCACATGAAAATACTTGGGCTTGAATGCGATGAGTTGCCAGAGCCTGGATTTATTGCAGATTTCCCCAATGATGTCATCTTCCCGTTCTTTGTTATGGACTTCGATCCGTATACTCACAAGTCATGCCAATGTTCATCATCTCGGATATGTCACATTGCTCGCCTTCGCGCTGGCACTGTATGCGCTGCGGCCCTGAATTTGATTGATCGTTTAGCAGAGATCGCTGCCAATGAGGATGAGGCGGAGGATACACGAGTGCGCGCCCCAATACCTCCGATGGTGACAGCCACATTTTACAAGCAACATGTCCGAGTATGGATTGCTTATCGAGTAAAGCTCAATCATGGAGCGGAACCTGAAGATGATGGCGAACAACACGCTCAATCCGTTGACGAAATGCTCAGGGTGCAGTGCATTTGGAAAGGAGATATGACAGCGCAACAGGACGCAGCGCGGCTGAAGGCCATCATGGGCAATGTTTCGACTTGGGCGAGATCACAGTTCCGCAATAGGATCTCAGACTACATTGCGGCATGGAAGCGACGATTCCCACTGTCAGACGAAGATGAGGATGAGAGCGGAGATATCGAACTCATCACCACAAAATTTAGCAGCCTTAAACTTTCGCGGACCGATAGCATGAGATCCGACAGGCTCTTAGAGGCGAAGCCACGGCAAGAAATCTTGAACTTATTACCCAGCAGTGTTGATGAACTGAGATCGGTCCAAGACCAAAGGGCTGGGGATACCAGCGGCGGTACAGACGACGGTGCAAGACCCAGCGTGATTACTCCAAGCTTGGGGAATTCACCCAAAGATGCGAACGAAGTCATTGTGTTTAAGGACGGGGACGTAGTCACGACAGATTTCAATGTGCAGATAACCCGGGATCAAGCAGAGTCCGTTTATACATCCCCAGCGCACGACATCAGACCTGAAAGACATCAGATTGGACAAGACCATCTGATATTGCCTCCAATTCCGCGACCGAGGGGGAATAGCACAGGATCAAATATCTTGAGGGATTCGAATCCGGCTTCTTTCCGGTTATCGCCTGAGCCTCCCAACCCCGTGACACCAAAACAAGGAGGCACGCTTGTGGTTGGCAAGACGAGGGCTGACCGGCCACGATCATTTGACGCAACAGCATTCATGGGCGTTGCCTTCCCATTTAACGCGTCGTCAACTCAAACCAAGGATGACAGCTCTTTGACTACGCCCAAGAAGAATATTCGTATATTTAGTGCCCACGACCTCGATGGAGAGAAGTTCACATTTTCTGTCTCTCCTGGTAACGCACGCTAGACCACTAACGCAAATCGGATGGGTGAGGCTGGAGTTTAATGCTAGGATAACATCCCTCTCCTTTTATAAATACGCATGCAGGGTCGACATAGGAAACCTCTTCATTCACATTTCCCAGGGTTCGTAACATGCAGTTGTTATTATCCAGTCCTTTGCACTCTATTGCTTCCGTTTCTCCAAAGCTTTCATTATCACCTATAAAGTACTTCTACGTTCTGGCCGGGCTGGGCCAATTGAGAGTGTCATAGATTCATACAAATCATGTTGTAAATACTGGTGGATCCCAACGCCTGTAGCTTTATCCCTGGTTCGCCAGTAACTTCGGTTTGCTTGCGGCCCAGAGCTCGCTTCAGAAACTGGCGAGTGCAAGCTTCAGAGCTGGAGATGCTGGAAGTTCGGGACCTTCACTCCCCTAGTCTCGGCTCGGGACAGCGCTACATCTATATTTAGAGCTCCCAGATCTCATATCGTTAGTAGTATTTTACCCATAGCTCCTGGGCGGCCTCTCTAAGGACCTCCGCGCATAGACTTTTCAGACACGGAGCGTTTCACACCGCCAACATCGATTGAAAGGTGTTGGTTGATAGCGCTTTGCTCAAGGGTTTTTCTCGTTAGCGAAGTACACTGCCGATTGACCAAGAATATCGCATTGACGCTTCACATCTGACTGAGTTCCTAGAAGATCTAAAACGGCTCAACCTTTGGGGTCAAGCCTATATTTAGCAGATGAAGTAGATAACGGTGGCCATTCATTACACTGACGGATACTCCCATCACGCCATCGGATGGACGATTTGGTCCATGATCCGGATGTGGTGGTGTGTGTGGTTGTGTGGTTATGAGAACCAACAGAGCAGGCAGCCAGGGTCTTTATACCACCATGATCGAGGCGAGGTCCGGCCCGTTAATAGTCCCACTCCTTCAGACAGTGTCCAGATCCTTAGATAGCACGAATCGCGCCCCCCCCCTTTTTTCTTTTCTCCTTCCCGCCCGCTTCCTTCTCTCCCTCTCTATCACACTGCATATCAAGTTCAGGCAGATTAGCACATCGACATAGTATCGACTTTTATCCACTTAGAGAGTGCTGAGCCACATTATCTATCTATAGCGTAGGCGAGTGGCTCAGTTCTTGTGTGGCCTCTTGGCCGCAGAGATGCACCAACACTTCCTACACATGTCGGAGAAGCCGGTACATGCATAAGGACATTGCGTGTTAGAGAGGCCAGGTACTGGGGAGGCAGCCTACCCATACATTCGCTAGAAACGACCTCCCAATGGCGGATATAAGATAGAGGAAAGCCCACATCGATGGCAGAGTGTTGGCGAGGAAACTAACTGCCAATGAGGCCTAGTAGTATTATCCACAACCAAAATGGCTAATCAAGCCACTTCTATCCTTGTCCCCGCGCCACCGGAAGACTCATTTGTGTGGCAATCCGCCCGCTCCCTGCATCAACTCCTAGATTTATTCTCGCCCTATGACAGGTGCCTCGCTTATACTCCGCATGCTCAGAACGCCCCTCACTGCTCCCGCCCCATCAATCGGGGAAATAGAGCCCGCGTCCCCGGGCTCCTCCACCAACTACGCCAAGCACGGATTCCCTCGGAGGAGGAGACGTCCTTCTCAAGGACCTTTCCCATTGTGCTGTCTGTGGAATCACCGGATGGCACCAGAACAAGGCTCATGAGGTCTACGACGAATGGGTCGAGAAGATCTGGGATGAGTATCTTCGAGCCTCTGGACTTGATCCTACCCCAGACGCCCCCAAACCCCGCGTGTTTACAAGAGATGTTTGGAGGTCACATCTTTGGCTGGCACGGGCCTTGTTTGAGGGCGAGCCCAGTGAGCCTGAAAATCAAGATGACAGTGGAAGTGAAGACCACAGTGGAAGCGAGGACGATAGTGGAAGTGACGGTTATAGTAGCGACGACGGCGACGACGACGGCGAAATCGGCGATGCATCTGGAAACAAGTCTGAATGGGAAGACGTACACGTTTCTACCCCCCTCTGACCCCGTCTGTGGTATCTGCCGCTTCTTCCGGAATCATAGAGATTAACCCTCTTCCCATCGGACTTCTGGAAGCTACAAGCCGGCTGGTCGTGTATCGTGATCCGGAGCCAAGTCCTCCTGTTGAAAACTCCCACGATCCCCCGGCAACAACCACAACTACTAGCTCCCTCAACATCCTCAGGGATCGAGACCCTAATGTACCCACTTCATCCTGGACTCGTCTCACCGCCACCATACCTGTGCACCCCAGCAGGAACCCGCCGTTTTATTGATAACGCTGATGGTAAGCTCTACCTATTCGGGGCAGGTCTTACTAGCTGGCTGTAGTAGCGACGAGATCTACTTTCCTCCCATTTTCCGTATTAAAATAAAGCACAAAGGTAGATAGATCATGTTAAATAAGGAGTTGGAGGCCATCCTCACTTCACGTTCCGAGGTCTCCTCGTCACACCTTTACCAATACACAGCCCACCACGGCCACCAACGACGCTCAATATTAAAAGGCCAAATCGAAGGTAATCTCCACTGGCGGTGCGACGAACTCTTCTGGATATTGAGGGCTTGTTGATCAGCCGCGCCCAGTGTGAGGTCTGCACAACTTCACGCATTTCGCCCAGGGGACTTTCGTTGCCTGGACCGTTCCACCTTCTCGAATGGGCGAGACCCGTTAATGAGAGTGCATGTGGGTGATGCTAAAACCGGGCAAGGGGCCATGGCTCTTGCGTGCCACCATCGTACGGTTACACCGGCAATCGGAGCTGGATTTGGGGTTCTAGACTGGGAGGCTTAGTGGAGTAGCTCGAGTTACAATGCCGCGACGTTATTTCACTCGGCCGAGTTTACCTTTCCCGTCTGCCTTCTCTATTAGCATGGGCAGAATTGGACGTGTATTCGAAGCTGTTGAGGAATTCCAGACTTCTGGACTTGGACCCCATCAGTCATGATATGGTCCCCCCGTATATAATCGAGACATCATCATTTATGTGAGGCGAATATAACATGCGGGTCTAGCTGCTTCAGTTCATCGTTTGTTTCTTTCAGGATACAGCCTTCTCTTCTCTAGTCATTCAATTAATGCCTTCCGGACCAGAGACCAAGTCTGAAGTCCAAGCCCAAAGGAACCATCTCATAAACCTTCTTGCCACTAGGCTGACGCCAACAGCAGTCTCTGTCCAGGCCGCCCAGTCGCGCCCCTGCGTTGACTACATCCTTTCCACGCCTGTTGATCAGGAGGCCACGGGTGAGAGCTTTGGGAATAGCCGGGGATAATCATCCGGTGCCATCTACAGTGGGTGGACAAAATAAATGCACTTGGTACTGTTTTGGAGAAGTGGGTGGTGATAATTTTAGAGAACAACCCTGTTCGTTCATATTAGCTGGGGTTAGGTATAAGAGTACCTGTGTACCGAGTACTCGGTAAATTCCGTTAAACTTTGCGATCAACTTCAAAGTTGTTCTGGTGCCTGTGCCCCACGCAGCGAAATCCGGCTTAATAATTTCGTCCAACGCCTTCATTGTCCAATATCGTCTTCCTCCCTCGTTTGAGTCCAAATCGTTTCCCCCCTTCTCGTTGTCCCTCGAAGGAAGAAGGGCAATGGTACCACCGACCTCTCATCATCGCCATCAGGTATCACTGGAAGAGCTTATCGACTTCGCCGCCGTCCCACCATTGAGCCAAGCGCAGCGGACAGCGGCCAGAGATACATTCTATTCCCTCGTCAACAGTTTTGATTCAGAAGATGCACCATCGTCAACCCTCCCTTACAGCCGAACGAAACTCATCCGATATACATTCGAGTACTCTCTATCTCAGGACGCGCAAGATAACTTCCTCTGGGCTTTCTTTAGAGCAATCGATTCCCCTTTCGATGGTCAGGGACTAGACCTGGATAAAATTCGTCCATATTTCCATGGCTTTGCTGATTACTTGATTGATCACTTCTTTCTCCCATGTATTCCTTCCCCTTGCCAAGTTGCCCATCCTCCCCAATTTGCTGTCACAACTAACCTGCGTTCTAATTCAGTGAAGGCCGCAGGTACCAAAACACCACAGCCGTCACCAATCTTTCGCTCGGCAATAAGGGATGTCCAAAGCACCAGCAGCCAAGCTGGCTTTATCGGAACACCTGATCGGCTGGCCTCTCTTCGTGGCTTCTGCCTTACCCGTGACCGATATCGGTGTGTGATATCGCGTACGTTTGATTGGCCTGAGGCTATCCGACGCCTAAGACAAGACCCCAATGCCACAGACGAAGATGGCAATTCTCTCGCAGCCGAAGCCGCCCGCCTCCCATTCCAAGCACTCGAAGTAGCCCATATTCTCCCACATTCCCTGGCACAGACGAGCAGTGAAGACATGCTGTTAGTACGTTTGTTGTAACTACGCTTCTTCATCGCCTCCTCCTCTCATTATCTTTTTTATTCTAACTTGTCTATAGGACGAAGCTAAGCAAGCTGCATTGTCAATTCTGAACATGTTTGATACCGGCATCGTGCACCTTATCGAGGGTGTCGATATTGACCAACCTCGCAATGCCATCTCCCTTACCAACACACTGCACCAATCATTTGGTTCTTTTGATCTATGCTTCGAGGCTACAGACACACCTCACAGATACAAGATTAAGTCCTTTCTCCCAAGTGTCGCAACTCAACACCTTCCAGACACTCGGTCTTTGTATTTATCACCTGATCGGACAATTGATCCCCCGCTTCCCCGCTTCCTAGCAGTTCACAGGGCCATTGCCTATATTCTACATCTGTCCGCTGCTGGAGAATACATCGACAAGATCCTATGGGACCTAGAGGAGACGGGAATTCGGAGTGATGGGTCGACTGACTTAGGCCGATTCGTGAGCTTGAGGTTGGCTGGTTGGCTTGATTCTTCTGTAGGGGCATTCTCGTAAGATAGTACGCGGCGTTTCCCTTCTTATTATCCTAAGGCAAGGCCATACACGGAGCAAAATGGACAGAATCCCTAGTGCGTTGTGTAATCTCTGGCGCATTTGATTTCACTAAAGCCGATAATCGTATGGTACTAAATAATGCTCTATTTTACTCCTCCCTCAATTTCAATATAACTACTTTTACTCGACAGTTAGGAATTTCCAAAGCCTCTGTAGTCAAGTTAGCGTTATCAGAATACTAGTACGCCCCCCCATTCCTCGTGGGCGCCATTTTATATGTGACTGAGACCGAGACAGCCGCGTGAGACCACAGCGATAATCTAGGAATTTCCGCGATGGGGTAAGAGAAGAAGAGAAGGGAGGGAGGGAAAAAAAATAGAAACTAAATAGATTAAAAGAGAAAATATGAAAAGAGATGGGTTGAAAATGAGTATAAAAAAGTTATTCAGGAAGAAGAATGGGGGCCAACCGGGGATTGAACCCGGGACCTCTCGCAACTAAGCAGAGGGTGTTACCCTAAGCGAGAATCATACCACTAGACCATCGGCCCTTATTTCCCTTCCAGGTTTGCTGTGATTGTTGGTGACGGGGCCGCTTCCTATCTAGCCCTAAACAGGCTGGCCTGCACGCTTCGATTTCTGGATGTCACAGGCAGGTCGGCGCGGTATTAACACCGGTCCACGTTGGTGCGCCAGATGATGATGGTAATCGTTTATGGGTCTCACTACTGCTCTCCGGATCTAATAATTAACAAAGAACTGGTTCATGTCAATATACGTAACAGAGCAAGACCCCAATGCTGCAGACGAGCAGTTTAGTGGCCAAAAGGTCAAATTACCAAACCCGCCGGGGGTGGCTGCAAAGTTTTCCGCAAGAATTGCCAATCAGAAAAAAGAAGCTGAGAACACACAATCGGAGTCCCAACGGAAAGAGAACTGCGTCACGGTGGGCATATGTAAGACAGCCACTTCATAAGACAGCCACTTCATAAGAAGAATGAAAAGAAGCCGAATCCTAACGATAATCCCGAAAGATCGGATCTGGCAATGATGGAACTTGTATTATGATGACGGAAGCGACTGAAGAAGGGCTGAATACTGGAAGTGGAATACTGTAGTAACGACTGAACTCACTGAACTGTACTGGCTGAACTTGTGAGTAGAAGGAAGAGGAATCATTATTATTATCTTGTGTACAGATGTAAGTAGGATGTAAAAAGATTTAAACGTCCTGCGCACTAGCTCGGGCTTCGATTCATGCAATTCTGCTCAACGTTCATTTCTCAATCACGCCAACCGTCGGTTCTGACGGATCCCCAGTTGTTTGCTGTTCCGAGCTCTTCTTGTCTTCAGGGATATAACGAATCATGGCCCATAGAAGGGCGGCTAAGAATAATGCAGATAATATTGGCACACCAATAGCCAGGAGTAAAGTTCTACCAAACCCCTTTGGGATTCCCGTCTCCTGGGTGGATTGCCCGCCGTATATTCCGTCGGGGATGATCTCACTGGGGGTCCACCTCGGCACTAACATGGAATTGGTCAGTGTGGGTAGCTTCGGTGTTTGAGTCGATGTGTCCGGCAGCCCATTCTACAGCCCAAGGTTCATGTATTAAGAGAGTCTCGGCCAATTCTGCGGCGTTCGGTGGCGCATCGTCACTCGAATTGGCCGCCTTATCGGTGCGAGTAACCCAGCGTGTGCATCGGTCGTCGATTTCCTCGAAGGTGTAGCCGCTAGGTTTTTGTAATTCTTCTCTTGTTCCAGTTCATCGTATTTGTCGGAAAGGTCGGCTCCTGCTTCTATAAGGTCCCCAAACGCCTTGGCGAGACTGACCATAGTTACAATTCCCATGCGTCGTTCATTTCTTCTGGCCCTGTCTACAACGATGAGGTCGCCATCCAGGGTTCTTTTGGCGTATTCGGCGAAGGTCTCGTCTTTCTTAACTCTCCGTTCCGGGGGAAGTTCGGCACTCATCAGGACATTTCGAACGTTCGCAAGTAGGTCCCGGGTATCTCGGGGAAGCTTAGGCAGGTCTGTCGGGGGTTTCCCTTGGGCCCAGCCGCACAGCTTCTTAAGGTTTTGGGCATAGAAGAGGGTCGAAGTAGCAAGGGCGGCGACGACGATTGTTGGGGTGGTGTGGCCGATAGTCTCCCAAGACAGGTCTTCCTTGGCGGCCCACGCACCGGGGGCAAGGAAAAGAAGGAGGAGAAAGTGGAGGGCGTCTCTAATTATCTTCCGGGCGGCATATTGGGCGCGTTGTTGCTCTTCCAGGGCCAAGTGCTCTTCGCAATGGTCATCAGACGCCCAGTGGACAGTGTTCTCGCAGTTTCGGCAGGATAGGCGGAGTCCAGGAGCGCGGAAAGAGCGAAGGTTTCTGTCCCTCTTTTTGGCGGGAGCTAAATGCTCCGCTCAATGGGTGGTGAGGTTATCTGCCCTAGGTTGGTGGTAGAGCGCGCACAAGAACTGTCTCAGCGAGGGAGCTCGTCGGGCTGGAGCGCTTTCTTCGTCCTCCGTTGGGCGGGTTCGGAAAGAAGTCGTCGGGCGTCGTGGAGGTACTCCTGAAGAAGGGGGAATACTTGCTCCAGGATTCTGGTGGCGAACTGAATGGTGGGGCGGAAGAAACGTCGTTCTAACGAGTCCATTCATCTTTCGGAGTTCTCTGTTCAGCCGGGTCCCCGATAGAGAGGTCTTCAGGGGCAGTAGGCAAAAGGGGCAGTTGACGAGGAAGTAGCGTCGTCCAGCCTGGTGGAAGTAGTGTCGGCAGGTTCCGTCAGGGTTCTCCTTCCTTCTGATGGGTGTGGAGGTTCGTTGACTTCGGGGTGTGAAGCGGCTTGGTGGAAGTTCACCCAGGAATACTGCCGGGAGGCCATTGACAAGGTAGGGACGACGCCACCTCAATTTCAGTGCAATCAACACTAACTTAAGGCTGCCATTCGACAGGCATGGGGCGTGGAGCAACCGCCTTTGGCTATCCTCGATTTCTACGGACCCAAAAACTTCCAGGATCCATTTTGGCTCCAGCCAATCGAACAGGTCAAGTCCAAACTACCAGTTCATCTTCCGCCTTCCGCCTTCCGCTTTCCAATCTCTATATGCAGAAAAGGGAACATTTATAGGTGGCATTTCCCTGGAGGGTCAACGCGATTCAAGCCAGCATGCCAATGCGCACCCGGGCCTCAAAGACAAGAACCCGTCAACCGAGGCACTTGACCATAGCAAAATACGACAAGCTTTTGCAATGCAAGCTATTGCCGAGGGCAAAGTTTTGCAATCTATCTGGCCTGGTTTCCCGGAATGATTGGGCCTTATTGACCCTGCTCTTAACGTGCATGGAGAATGGCCTCCCACGGCGGTTGTTCACGGGAATGCCGACTTCATGATACCAATGCGCCTGAGTCAATCATTTATAGAGGCGTTAAGGAGTCAAGGAGTAGAGACTGAGTTTATTGAGGCAGATGGCGAGCCGCATACGTTCCTTGGGAAGATGGTGAAGGGCTCGAAAACATGGAAGACCCAACGTAAGGGCTTCGACTTTTTGGAGAAAGCGTTGCGACGCAGCTATGCCTCATAATCCTTTGACACTTCGCATTGGAAATTCCCTTGTACTTTAGGTTTATACACATATGACACAATGGCGGATGATCCTGAAAGAAAAAAAAAAATAGCTACGTAAAATCTGGGGACCAGGTGTTTAATTGGCAATTTCTTTTCTTTTATTTCTGGTTACCATGGCTCACCTCGCGGAAGCACAAAACCGTTACCATGCTTGTCAGTATATCTTGTCTGCCCTGTAACATAACTCTTCCAGGTTCATGTCAGGCAACAAGCGGTTCGTCATTGTTCAACAACAAGTTAATAAAGTCTGTCATATCATCATCACACCACACGTCGTCCATAGGTGGTCCTTGCAACCTAGACCCATTTGTTTGTTGATCTGGATCTCGTTGCCAATCTGTCATGCTAGCCAAATCGTCCAACAAGTGGCCAGCTTCGAAGACGTCTAGGCAATCATCGACAAGGGCCGAATCCACGCTCTCCGTCGGAGATGCGATCCTAGCACTCGTGGCACGAACCGCATGTTCGACGAATATTGCGCTGCAATCTGCGGCAATATAGGTAGACCTTAGTTGGTTGAGGACTCGAATGCACTGCGAAAATCCTTGCGTCGCCTTGTCTCGGATGGTAACTTCCGGGCACTTGAGGTCGAGCAGGTGGGTAGCGAGGGCGGGAAGAAGCACGGTAATTCCTGTCAAGGGTAGATACTTGACCAGATCCCTGTTATCTAACTCCGTTGCGAAGCTCGAAATTGCCGTTGCCGCTGTACGGATAATTGCCCTCGACTCCGCCGCATTTGCGGAAGCGCCGGTAGATGAAAAAGGTCCCAAACGCGTACCACCCAGCGCCCGAGGCCGGTGCAAGGTCGATAGAGCAGTGTAGTAGATCATCTGCAGCAGAATATTTTGAACTGTCAACCAGGGTGGCTCGATCCATGTGAAAGTTAATGAGCAGTGTTTCCGGAAGAAATTTAGGCTTTTGGCCAGTTCCCGGTGATGGCTTTCAAAGTCTGGATCGCTCCCTTGCACCGCCTTCAATACTAATCTTGGAGACGCTAGCTGGGTTACACCTTGACGGCTTCGGTGGCGATATAGGACGTCATATTGCGTGGTTAGAATGTTCCCGATGTTAACGCACAACCGAGCCTTGCAAATGCACATGTACGCCAACTGCCGTTGGATGTCTAGGTCGTCGGTGTACCTACAACGCGAAGCAATATGACCTATATGGCAGGGGATTTCAGCAATATCGAAGTCGTCGATCGTCAACATTGGATAATCGTAACTCGTAGGGATATGCAATGGCCGTCGCATGCCAAGCGCAATCAAACGGTCTCGCATCACTACTGCCCACCAGATTCGTCGCCGGAGACGCACCCGCCTTTCAGGCATCTTCCCTTCGTCAGGCGGGACGTGCAAGTTTAGACCGAGGGCCTTGGAGGCCATGAGGCCCACCCATTGCCAGGTATCCTGGGGATCGTCCGGACTTTCGTAGTGGAAGGTTAGGAGCAGGAGGGCCTGAGTAACCACAAGTCCATCTGGCTCACAGTCGTACTCGTAGAGAAGCTAGACATGTTAGAAACTCCTACTTCGAGTCCGTTCCAAGTATTAGGAGAGGATAGCATACCTCAACCTTCTGGAAAAGCTGACGCTGCGCATCAATACGCGACAGATAACCCACAGTCGTGAGTAATTTCATGTCCACAAAGGCTGCTCCTGCGAACATGACTGCTTGGAAAAGGAGCAATGATGTGCTTCCAGCTGTTCCGCGCGCGCCCGACAAGGACTCGAGAAACTCTGCCAAGTCAAGCGCTGGTAGGCAGGGGTAGACAAAATCAATATATGCTGCCAACAAGCCTCCACATGTTTTCCAATCGGGAACTGTCAAAGCTCCACTCCGCACCAGGGCTGACATTCCACTTGGTCCAATATGGGCTGGTAAGGGTTTGAATATGTAATTCGATGCATTGGGATTATCGAAACATGGTGGCTCAATACCATAGAGGTAGGCATTTGCGGAACCAAGGGGGCTGTTCTCGTCCCGTAGGCTTCGGGAAACAACTCGTGTGGTCGGGTTTGGCGCTTGACAAGGCGGCGATTTCGGCTTTCTGCTTGTATCTGTTACCATTAGTCCGTGCACCGACCTGAAATGCTCTGAAATGCTCTGTAGACCTGACTTACACATGGCGTACGGGACACTTTTAGGTAATATCGGGGACATTAAATCTCCTAGTATCCGCCGCTTCCTGTGACAGGTATTAGGTATTGTACCTCATGGAATGTAGGCAAGGAGAGCGGATTGGTTTTATACTTTCTGCTATTGCCTTCTGCCATGATGCATTCCTGCTCGTTAAAACGACAGTTTGTGCATGGTTCTCCAAGCACTGTTACATGGCATCTCACTTTGCGGGCGCGGCAGGTGAGGCATGCTCGAAGGGCTCGTTTTCGCCGGCGTGCTTGGCGGTACTGGATGATGGGCAAGGTCACCGCTTCTGGTGATCGTTGCTCCTTGTCGTCCTTGGATAACTGACCAGCACTCCCGGCCATAGTGAAGTCTCAAGGGTCGGCACCTGAATAGTTACGTGAGAGGGACCCTTTCCAAATTCACCGGTAAGGTTTCTAAACTCGGTCTGACCGGGCTTTCTAAAATAAACGTTGCTAAACATGTCAGAATAGACGGAAACTTGGGAATTTCGTATTTCTTTCCACATCTGGAGTATCGTGGGATGGTGGTAATTTGGCCTGTGGGGATCATGAAGTGTGGGGGTGGGGAGAGGGTCAGGGGAATCAATAACTTGAAAATTATGGGCCCCTTCGTTCGGGAGGCTTGGTATCTGGCCAAGATCCGAGGCTCGAATGGTAGCCTCAACGAGCGGGTGCCGGGGAGCTCTAACTTCACCATAATTAGAGCGGGGTAGGGTTCTCTAAGATTGTGGGGTTCCGGGGAACTAACTGCTTGAAGAGGATACTCTCGGGATCTGCCGGTTGCTTTGCTCTTGGGCAGTGCTTGCTTGCCCCCCGCGACGATGGAATGTAGTCATTTGCCGCCGTGATGGACAGTGGTATTGCCTGCATGTAGTTTCCATTCCGGGGACTCTCATGGGCCGCCGGAAGTCAGAACATCCGGCGGAAGTAAGCTAGAAAATCGGAATTCCCACTAGGACCTTCTGTGACTTGGAAAGCCTACAACTACCTTTCCAGCACTCTGGTCTTGCATGAATATTCCGAGAATTCAAAATCCTCATTAGTCCTTGTAGTTGAATATTTATTGGCCGATATCACTCTCATTATTGGCAATTACAGGTCACTAAAACCGCGGGCGGATACGAATCGATATGACAGCCACAAGGGAGTTCGCAAGAGACGCGTACCTCAGCGACGTGTGGCGCGATGGCTTATTCGGTATGAAGTTGCAGGTGTAGACTCCTAATGCTCATATATCATATCGCTGGATAACTCTGAATTTCAATAACCCAGACAACAAAGTAGTCTTTTGTACCGGTGGTGTCGGTAGTATCTGCTCCGCGCAAGTGTGGGCTCGCGTCTGTCTCGATGCGAATGCCTGCATCGTAAGTCGCAACATAGAAAAGACAGAAATGGCGGCCAAGGACCTAGCCAAAATGAGGCTAGGTGCAAAGGTTATCGGCATCGGAGCAATTGATGCTCGAGATGCCAAGTCACTAGTCACTACAGAGCTCCGTGGAACGATGCGCACGGGAGTTGGGTGGAATCGACTTTGTGATAGCCGGGGTGGCGGGCAACTTCTTGTGCCGATGCGAGACCTGATCGCCAATGCGTTTAAGAGTGTGATGGAGATTCTGGTTGGTGGGTTACTACCATTGGTAGCTAGCGGCTCTGTTCTTTCAGCCAAGCCCAATCTGTGAGGTTTGGGACCTATGGTATGCATCTCATACTCTGGCCGTAAAGAAGTAAGGTGACTAGCTCGTATTCTACCCATTTTTTCTATATGAACCCGTTTATTCGAGTTGTCAATTTAGACCTGGTAGATCTGGCCATTGCGAACAAGAGGGTGAAAATATTCGCCCCAGACCACCCTACCGCCCTCTTTTCAAAATGCCGGTACCATCTATGTAATTACAAGGACTGGGGAGAGGTACGTCAACGGTCTTCGCGGAGAATACCTCAATGGAGGAGTCGGCGGTTGCCAGTCCATCCTGGGATTTGGGCTGGGAGCCGCCGAGACTCAGGGCCTTCTAGATATCGTAGCATCTAGTACGCCATTGATTAATCCTAACTTTGACATCATCCGTATTGCCAATGGGTTGCTTAATTCCGTGAATAAATATCGTGGATTGACTTTGTATAAACGTTACTATCAACTCCGAACCTTGGGTGTTGATATTCCAGTACTCTGCGTGAAGCGTCTCATACGACAAAATTGCGAAACTCTAGTGACAGGAAGTTGTATTACACTTCACTTGCGGCAAGTTCCATTGCCTATACCACTTCTACCTGGTCGCTCGCACAAGCCCCGGGCGTATCAGCGATATGAACGGAAGTTTACAATACATATCTGAAACTCTCAAGACCTCCACCAAACCATCTCCCCTATCAGCGCGCCTATTTGCCCTCCAAAGCTTGCATATTAGAAGAGCAGTATTGATACACGCTACTCCTACGGCGGCTAGCAAAGTATAGAACCTAGGCCGGTAGTGAGGTGCATCCTGGCCCCTAAAGACGCAGGGTGCAATGATCGCACCAACTCCTCCGGCCATGTTAATGTCGCAGAACTTAATGCGCGCTTCCATTGGCCCCTCACATTGTTAGCTTGCCACGCAATTGTCAACGTCGTCACTGTGTTGACACCGGATGTGGCAACGAAGGCTCCGAGATAGCGGACTCCCACATTTTGCAACAGGGCGAGGAACGAGAGTCCTTTGTGTGCTTGGTTAGCTTGGGTACTCTAAACGAGGCAGAGCTGGTCAGTTGTCAGGGGCTCTAGACTTACCTACCAGGCTCAGCAGCGCCCATGCCAGGATCATAAACCCCTTGTAATGATACTTATCGGCCGCCCAGGCCGAGATGTATACACACATAGCCGAGACCACGTATGGGGGGGCAACAAGAAGCTGCGACAAACCGGTGCTAAAACCCATCCCCTGCCTCAAAACAACTGGCAGGAAATACGCGACACCAAAGGTATTGATAGCAGTAGTCCCAAATATAATGGCGTACATCCATATCTTCAAATCCAAAGCACTAGCAAGATAGCGCGTGAGATTGAAACTGGGATTCAAGTTAGGGTGAGACATAAGAAGTTAGATCATCTGGGATAATATTTCATAACCTTACCGTTCAGCAGCGACGTCAGAGCGGTCCTTGTTAATTTGGGCTACTACAAGCTCAGCTTCCCTCTCGGTAAGAAACTTTGGAGGCCATCGAACTTTGCTGGCATGCTCTCTAAGGGTTCGGTTAACACCAATATATGATTCGAGAAAGGTCGAAAGGCCCAAAAAGGAAGATGGAAATAGGGGAATGGTCAGAGGTACGTACGGGAAGTCAATGATAAAGATAGCTGCCAGGGCTGCTATGACAACCGTAACGACTCCCTGCATAAAGCTAATAGTGGCATTAGAGCTGGTAACACCTAGCAGTGCCTGGATGGCCCATTGGCTACTCACAAAATCCATCGCCAGCCAGCAATACCCGGCAATTGTTGAAGGTTTCCGTTAGCGCTAGGCACATACTGGCCAAGCTGAGCACCGGGGCCCACACCGCCCATTTGGGAAAACGCGTAAGACAGTATGCCAGAAAATGCTGAAGATAATAGCCCTATGATAAAGAATCCGGCGCTGCGCTTCGCATACTGGAACCTTGGATACCAGCAACTAATGCCCACATGCGGTTAGTACTCGGTATCGGAAACTATTCCGATTTTCCAGGACACACCTCGTCAAGTAGGCAACACCCGGAAGGATACCATTCTCAAAAACCCCGAGAAGCAAGCGAATGGGGATCTGATGCGTCCAAGACGTAGCGAAGCCCATGGCGATAGTCAGGCCACCGAATACGAGGGTCGTGGTGGAGAGGAAGGCCCGAGCTCCCATTTTGCGCATCAAGACGACGGAAACAGGTTGGGTGGGGATGTAAGTTGCGAAGAAGAGCAGGATAAGAATAGAATAATGGTTTGTACCGATGAGGTGTAATAGTAATCGTCGTATTAGTGGAAATACATATGGCGACTAACTCCTCGTGAGGTTCTCACTGATGTTCGTCCGGTCCATCAAGCTAACCATGAAGATGATTCCAACTGGTATAATCAATCTGATATCGACCTTACGAGTGATTCTGGCGCGCTCTTCCGGGGTGAAGCTATTGATGAGATCATCATCCTGTAAGATAACGTCTCGATCCCCAATACGGGAAACTTCAATATCCTTATCAATAGATACAGACATGATGGAGCCAATGTGTGTAAAAGGAAAAAAAAAAAAAAAAAAAAAGAAGTCAACCAATAAGGATAGAAGTGAGATGAAGAGGTTATATTCAGAGTGGAGCCGTGATGGAACATGATATTATCTAAACTATTTAAACATGGCCCTTTTCTCCACGCTCTCATGTTGTTCCCCCACACGCGGGAAAGGCTAGGGTGCATTAGCGGCTTATGCTTCCCCGGAACGGAATACGGCAACAGATTATCGGTGCGGTTTTGAAAACCCGAAGCATCAAATACGCCGGCAGTATCTCTGAAGTGATAAGACTGCTTGAAAGATTTTTGGCTCTTGGAGCCGAAACATAGAGGCCCAAGCCCATGGATGCTTGTCAGGTGGCTGTCGCTAGATCTTATTACTCTCCAAACCGGTCATTATTAAATTGACTGCTGCGCTGCCTTAGGAGGGATACTAAATAGATACTGGTACGGCAATGACATGGTTGAGACGTGGGCCGGCCTTGTAAGGGGAGAAACCTCCCATTACAAGTCACAAGTTGGAACTAAAAAGTTGGGTGAAATATTCTACGAATCAATTGTTCACATTCTGGCCAGGCCCCGATGACTCTGTGCTCCCTGTGAACCCGAACAGGCCGTGATATCCAAACACACGCCCAGGACATCGCGTGTATCCCGGGGGTCGATAACGCCATCGTCAAGGAGCACAGCACTGGTGCAATAGCAGCTTCCATCTCTGAGCACATCCTGACGAAGCTCCTCGCTTGACTTCCTCGCCTTTCCAACGCTTCCATTTGTCCCATTCTTGCCGCCGCCGATAGATTCCATCACTCCAACAAGTTGATCTGGTCCCATAACGCTACAGCGACCAGACGGCCACGAGAACAGGAAACGAGGCTGATATGCTCTTCCGCACATGGCGTAGTTACCGGCCCCGTAGGAAGCGCCGATGATGATAGAGATGTGAGGCACGGTAGAACAGCTTACTGCAGAGACCATTTGGGCGCCGTGCTTGATGATGGCAGACTCTTCGGCCTTCTGACCTACCATGAAGCCGGTAACGTTGTGCAGGAACACTATGGGTGTGTTTCTGTGGTTAAAAAGTTAGTAGGGCTTCCTCCCATCGCCAGAGACGGCGTGTACTTACTCTTGATTACATAGCTTAATAAACGTTGCACCCTTCATTGCTTCATCAGCGTTAATAACGGGCACCTGATTTGCTACGATTCCCACTCGGTGACCTAGCAGTATGTTAGTATGAGCTAGCTTTTTTGGGGGGGTTCCCTTGGGACTTCATATGGAACTTGCCATAGATATTAGCCCAGGCTGTAATGAGATTCTGTCCAAAGGATGGCTTAAAGTCTAGCCATCGAGAGTCATCAACAACTCTGAGGATCACTTCTCTCATATTAAGAGCTTTGCGGATATCAGGGTCAACAATTGACAAGAGCTCTGCGGGTGAGTAGCGTGGTGGAAGGGACTCGGTGCTACTCAGTTCTTTGACCAAGGGCGTCTTGAGAGTTTTTACCCAGTCTCGGGCTTTTCGTATCGCATCAAACCTATTTGGTAACACTATCGTCAACCGACTGAACTGTTAGAGAAATGGGCCAAGGCAGGTTAACTCCTACTCATCGGTCGCAATCTGATCTGCTAGACCCGTAACTGTGCCATGCATCTTCGCCCCTCCTAAAGTCTCCGCATCAACAATCTCACCGGTAGCCATCTTAACAAGCGGCGGGCCGCCAAGGAAGACCTGCGCCTGGTTCTCGACAAAGATGGTGTAGTCAGACATGGCTGGATGATATGCTCCGCCAGCAGTCGAGGATCCGAAGACGACGGTGCAGTTGGGCTTCCCTTGGGCGCTTCGGGTGGCCAGATCTCGAAAGATTTGTCCCCCTTTGTGGAACACTTTGAACTGCTGGGGAAGGAAAACGCCGGCCTGGAGACCCTTGTCAGTGCATGCATTGTTTTAGAGAGAATGGGTTGGGGGGTTGGCAGTGACACCGGCTCATTCGTACCGACTGAACAAGTCCGATCATGGGAAGGTCGTTTTCCGTGGCAATCTGGGTGACTCTGTTCTGCTTCAACACTGAACGTAACATTTAGTTCTCATCTGCAGCAAGACTGGGGTGGTATCGCCGCATTCGCCACACAACGTACCTGTAAGCTCGTTCCATGCGCCACCACTTATCGTCGGTATGTGAGCCAGCACGAGGCATATTCTACCACTGCCTTGCGTCAGCTCTCTCTACCCCGGAAAAGGTCGTCCAAACAAGTTTAAAACCATACGAGACAGTGCCAATGCCAGCAACCAAAGACGCACATGGGGATGAATCCTCGAGATCATGGCCCGCCAAGGCGCATAGTTCGAGGAACGGAGAATCCGAGTCGAGGAGCAGGTTGACGCGTTCTCGCGCTAGGAAAGCTGTCAGTAGAAGATCAGGAACCAAGTCTACATTTGCAATTTCCGCATACCGAGTAATTGGCCTCTGCTTCGATGGCGCTGTTGAGAGGCGGCGGTTCCCTCACTGCTAGCTGTCTCGAGGGCCTGAGAGTGCTGTTCGAGCAGCGCCTCCCACGCTTTCGCTGTAGCTTGGCTCAGCGAACCGTTCGTTTTCTGTATCGGAAATGAACTCGCCATGCTGGGTATTATTTCTGCAATTTACCTCCGACGAGCTTAAAAGATAAAAATGAAGAAAAAAAAAATAAGAATTTTAAATAGATATATAAATTGAAACCCCAAAAAATTTGATAACGCAGCCGGCTCCCTCCCCCCCCCCCAATTTGAGGACAACAGGGTGTCACGGATTCCTCGACCGCTGAATGATTCCACGGAAACTGCTCACCCGATGCCACGGTCCGCGGGATTTCCAATTACGCCCGTTCCCCGCACGCCTACACTACTGCTCTACCGATTCGATCTCAGGCTAGTCCGAAACCAGACAGCTCGGGTCGGAAGTCGAGCTACATGGAGTATGTTCGCCCGAGCGAGTAGGATGAGTGTATCCCGAGATTTATTAATTCAAGGGGGCGAAGGCAGCCCCGAAAGACGTGAATCCGAGTTAAGGCCTCCCAACTATGGCTATGAAGATGTCGGGGAGAGCTGCCGTGCGCATTGTCGAAGTCGGCCCGCGCGACGGCCTGCAAAATATTCGTGCCCATGTGCCGACGCCGATTAAGCGCGAGTTAATCGAACGTCTCGTGGCAGCGAAATTGGGCACGGTCGAGCTTACGTCTATCGTCTCGCCCAAGGCCATCCCCCAGTTAGCGGACCACGACCAAGTTCTCACGAACCCGAGCATACTGAGTCTTATCAGGAATCCCGAGCTTCGTCTTCCGGTTCTCGTCCCAAATTTGACGGGATTCCAGCAAGCGTTAAAGTACGGCGTCCGAGAAGTTGCAGTCTTCATTAGTGCGACGGAAGGGTTTAGCAGGGCCAACGTCAATTGTACCGTCGAGCAAGGCCTCCAAAGAGCAGCTGAGGTGACGAAAGCGGCCAAGAGTCACGGTGTAGCCGTGCGAGGGTAAGTACGGCTCAGCCACCCAGAATGCGTGTTGCTTGTCACGTAAAAGGCCAACTAACATTCGGGCTAGTTATATTTCTTGCATCTTCGCATGCCCCTATGATGGTCCTACACCCCACACGGCTGTCCTTCATTGCGTGAAAAGCCTCCTCAAAGCTGGTTGCTACGAGGTCTCCCTAGGTGACACAATCGGCGTCGGAACTCCAGGAAAGACGCGCGAGCTGCTCACTTTTCTGCTCACAAACGGCATACAACCCTCCCAGCTTGCCGGCCACTTCCACGACACCTACGGTCAAGCACTCGCCAACGCATGGGAGGCCTACCAGTGCGGCATACGGGTATTCGACAGTAGCGTGGCTGGCCTAGGAGGGTGTCCGTACGCCCCCGGGGCTCGAGGGAACCTATCTACCGAGGACCTTGTGTATATGTTTGAAGGGGCGGGTATTGATACGGGAGTCGATTTAGGACGCCTCGCTGAGACTGGCGACTGGATATCCTCGCTGCTCAAGATACCAAACGGGAGCAGGGCTGGCGTCGCGACCTTAGCGAAGCAAGAGATGACGGCCACAAAGCTTTCGCATCCCGTAGAACAGCTCGCGACACCATTCCGATGGAAAATTGTCAGAGCTGCGGGGGGTCTGACTATTCTCCGTGACCGCAAGACGGCCAAGGTCATCCTCGATAACCCCCAAAACGGCAACGCACTAACTGCCAATATGATTAGCGAACTGACCGCCTTTTTCCATGACAGCAAACGGGATAAGTCACTATCCCGCATTATTCTGACCGCTAACGGAAGATACTTCTGTACAGGAATGGACTTGTCCAAGGGAGGTAGCCCGGTCGGAAAGGGTGGTAGGACCTCTACGGACCAGTTCAACCTCTTGACGGACCTCTACAAGGCGATTGACGACGCGGCCCAGGTGACGATTGCTGGGATCAACGGCCCTTGCTTTGGCGGCGGAGTCGGTCTCGCGTTAGCCTGCGACATCCGGATTGCGTCACCCAACGCGACGATCACTCTCAGCGAAACAAAGCTCGGCCTAGCTGCCGCTACAATTTCGAAATACGTGGTGCGGGAGCTAGGAATTCCTTTTGCAAGAGAGGCCCTTCTCTCAGGCCGGACCATACCGGCCTCGGAACTGAAGCAGAAAAGTGTTGTCACCTTAGTAGCCGACAATGCAGGGACTCTGGACCAAACAATTGACAGTTACACGTACTCTCTGCGGCAATGCGCTCCTAAAGCTTCCGCAATGTCGAAGGAATTGATCAAATTGGGATGGAATTCCGCAGGTTCGCAGGCGCAGGAAGAAGGGATCAAGAAAATCTTCGAAGCAATGATGCGACCAGACGCGGAAGGTTCCAAGGGTCTCGCGGCATTCCAATCCGGGCTGAGGAAGATTGACTGGGATGAGTTCGCCGCGTCGGATAAGGCAAAGCTTTGAATTACACGGCCTGTAAATTTGAAGAATATAGTAACTGCTTCAATCCCTGTATGTTTGGCCTGCCGCTCGGTGATGTAGATGTCCACAACATTTCAGCCATGACATCCCGGCCCTATTGGCCACTTCTCATGATACATAGCTATGGAGACTAAATCGCTGAAACATTGACTTGTAGCCATCGCCGTCCCTGGGGTGACCACTATGATAGCCTACTTTTATTGGATCAAGGGTTCAACCTATTGCCAACCCAAACTATGAGTCCCACCAATGGGCCTCATCCCCAGGAGCTCATACTTTGTTACCGAGAGCTTAGCTCGGGTTACTGCAAGAGGATTGGTGGACCCCAGGATATACAGAATGGAGACCTGTGTTGGCCATGCCTCCCCCCGCACAAACCCCATATCCCCCATACTACCCCATACCCCAGATTCCAACCTGTCGGATTTCCGGGGTAACTTCTGTAGGTGCACCGCAACTCCACGGAATATCTCGAGCGCAACGTATGCAACACAACACGGGGTTACTGATGCTTACGTTGTCCAATGCAAGGATAGTATAAAGCGTGTCACCCCCTATGTCAACTCCCTTTCGTCTTGTAAGGTCCTCACCTTATTTTGTGTAAGTGCCTCGTATACCACATCGTCAGCAATGGCAGAAAAGACAGCAATGATGGTTGAAAAGGAGACCACTAGGAACCTCGGCACGGTCCGCTTACACTGGGAAGGAACCCACGAAACAATTCTTATTCCCCAACCATCCAATGATCCCAAGGCCCCTTGAATTGGTAACTTATTCCACCCTCATCGGCGAGTGTGTACCTTCGTAACAACTAACTTGCTCGCCTCATTAGGCCCAAATCTTACCGATACTACCTGGCTGGCCTTACGAGCGCAGCCCTCTTCCTCGCGACGTTTCTCAATGTTGGGCCCTCCGTCACTCTCGTGGAAATGGCCATCGATCTGTTTGGAGTAATGCCACCCAACCCAGAAGATCCGGCCAGTCTAGCACCGACCGAGATTGCCGTCTTCCAGCACGCCATCACTAAAACCTCGTACTTGTTTTCCGGTGCAGCGCTCATGCAAGGGGTGTCTAACCTTGTATGGATGCCCCTAGCCGTAAAGTATGGCCGCCGACCCGTCTACACGTCTTCCTTCGCCCTATATCTTGCAACGACCATTTGGGCGGGCAGAGCAACTTCATTTCCGAGCGAGCTGGCTGCGCGGCTGCTGATGGGCTGGGTGTCTCCGGGTCGGCCGAGTGCGTGGCTCCGCTTACCGTATCTGACATATTTTTCCTGCACGAATGGGGTGCTGTGATGAGCCTCTGTACTATCTCTCTGGCGGCAGGCGGAGCAGCAGGCTCCGCGGTTGTCGGACTCATTTCGGCCTCATTTCGATTCGTGAGGACTGGCGAGTGATTTACTACGTTGGCACCGGAATCCTTGGTCTTCTCGTTCTGTTGATTGCTCTCTCGATGCCCGAGACGGCGTACCGGCGAGAAAGCCAGTCCAACCCCGACCCTGCGGATGAAATCGGCGACATTTCCAAGACTGGGGGGCTTGTCGCCCACGTCGAGGGTAGCCAACAGCGTGAGGAAACAGCATCAAAGGCACCGTGGCGACAGTCACTCAACATGTTCACCGGTCGCAAAACTGAGGAAAGTCTCTGGCTTATCTTTATCCGGCCAGTTGTCATGCTCGTCATCCCACCCGTCCTCTGGGCCATCCTCGTGTTGGGCGTCAATGTTGGCTTTACCGTGGCCATCAGCACCAGCGTGGCTTCGTCGTTCACGGTCGTCTACGGCTTCACGACCTGGCATATTGGGCTCGTGTGGCTCTCCAACTTAATTGGATGTGTGCTCGGTATGCCCTTCGCCGGGAAGCTCTCGGATCGCGTTGCAGACATGTTTACGAGGAGGAATGGCGGAATTCGGGAAGGGGAGATGAGACTACCAACCATGGTTATTGGAATGGTTCTCATGCCTGTCTCCATAATCCTGTACGGCCTCGGTCTCAATTACCAACTACACTGGATTGTGCCTACCATTGCATTAGGGATATGTGAGTTGAAGCCGCCCCCTATTACTATTATCACAAGCGCTATGAATACTGATCTGCAAAGCAGTCGGCTTTTGCCTCGTCATAGTAGGAAATGTCTCACTGGCCTACACCGTGGATGCCTTCCGTCCCATTGCTGGCGAGGTCGTTGTGACGCAGATGGGCTTCAAACGTAACCCTTACGCCTATTCTACCAGTACAACCTGAGGTTTGACTTGCTAATTTTGTTTTGTGTTCTAAACTACAGCCGCATTTTCTTTCCTTCTTGGCTTTTATGTTAATCCTTGGATTAAAAAGTCTGGATACGGAGGTTCGTTCGGAGCAATGGCTGGTATCACCTTTGTAGTGTACGCATTCTGGATCCCTCTGTTCTTTTGGGGCAAGAGGATCCGACATTCCATTGTCCACTGGAAGGCTATGAAATTGGTGGACTGGTCTGATGTCCGGGAAGTTGGGGAATAGACCAGGCGAATGATCATCCGCTTCCCTATTCTTCCCTTTTGGGTTAGCAGCCAGAGTGAGGTATAGCAAAGGCAATTCCCCGGAACGCTGTGCGGCGTTTTCCCCGGAAGCGGCTGTTCGAAGTCTGCTTTAAGGGGCCGATTCTCCAACACCCGATTCTGCAACACTTCATCTGTTGAAAAATCAGTAGGAAATTGTAATAAGCTCTCTTAGAAGGGACCGCTACTTCCCAATAGAACATGAATACGTGAACAGAACAATTACAACCGAATCCAACAGGTGGTTCAAGTGCACTCGTCTCGATAGCCTTGGTTGCAACCACAGAGACTTCCGGGGAAGCCTGGCCCCGTTCAGTTGGCGCCGTCCTATGTACCGTTACTTTTTTCGTAATTATCTGCATTGTATTTATGATCCTGATTTTGCAACGCGCTACCTTGGTACTTGTAGAACTAATTCTAACCCGTCTGTCTATTGGCCAGGCCAGCCACTACGGGCTCGCACGCTTTCAGCTCGATGGGCCATCCATGATCTGCGCCAGATTCGCCTTAACTTCCTCTGCTAGCGCCGCAACATTGATATCCCCGGGCAGCTTTGTCGTATTCCAAGCCGCTACCTGTTGGGCAACTCCCCACACGGCGTCCACAGCCGCTTGGGATATCCCCAAGCCCATGGAGCCTTTGAAGTGGCTTCTCGCCTGCCTTGTAGCACCCATCGCCGCAATGGCACCGGCTACGATGATTTCACATAGCGGGAGGGCCTGTTCCTTCACAGAACCGCCGATGAGATACCCAAACACGGCGGCATTAGCAATATATGCTACCAGATAGTTAGTATTTGTCTGTTAGAGAAGTGAATGGATCGAAGCCGTGTGTCGGTCTCGTACACAATTCTGGGAAGTATTGGGCAATCATTTGCCCAACTTCGGAATTTCCCACTGCTCGATAGATTTGGCGATTCGTTTCTTTGCCTTTAGTAGACCAATCCACCTCATTGAAAGGTGCGCTGATAACAACCCGAGTTAGCCGTAGATTCAAGGCTTGATTCGTGGAGGCGAATTCAGTGACGAACCGGTCAACCTCACTTGGAACTGCAATGTTGTCTCGCCGCAGCTCATTGATAAGGCCCAGGCACGCCGGAATACAGTTCGGTAGACCGACAAACGCCCACGTAAGATTCGTGGCGCGTTTCATACCAAAGAATATAGCTTTCTTGTCATTGTTCGACTTTCCACTCACGATGTCGCGGTACAGCTTCGGAACGGCATCCCCTCTTTTCTGGGCACATAACATTCCGGCCTGCAGTATACTCCGTGAGTGTAAACACTTTGTTAAGAGAAACTGTGAGTACTTACGAGTATCGCTGGAGCTGCTGTGCTGATGCTCCCATTGTCGGCATCCTCGAGTATCTTCACTAAATTACAGAGCCTTTCAGAATCGTAGGGTGCCGCATCCGAGGCCAAGTTGGCATCGGTATACTTGGCGTTGAAATCCTCCGACTTAGCGGCGGCCATTTCGAAAGAGAGAGAGAGAGGGTTTAGGGGGGCGGGGGGGGGGGGTTGGCTAGGTGATCTTGTGATCTTGTCTAGGGTCGCAATCGTGTGATCATGCGCTAATAGCGATGCATTGGGATTACTGAAATAAATACGTTGAACTGGAGAGGGAAATTCCCATTCAATGACGCAGGGTATCCTAGTGATTCCGGGGAAGGCATGCGCTAGATAATACAATCAACCCACATGGTCACGGGGGAGTTCGACGGTTTCCGTGGAGCCACAGCCGGGGCTTGGGGAGCCTCAGACAGCTTGCGCGGGTATTGGCCTTTTTTTTTTTTTTTTTTTTTGGCATTCCTGGTGGGGACGGAGTGTTGGATGATGAACTGTTTTCAAGGGCCACATTCTACCTGTATAGTCGAGGTTGTCGATATATATTCCTACCTCTCTAATAGATGCACATTCTAGAACCAATCCATCGAGGTTAATAACACAATCCAGTTGTTCACCATGACCATCGCTTCCGATCAATAGGAAAGCGCATACCGCCAACACCTCCCTAAGGAGGGTAAGTATCCGCTCATCAATCTAGCTTAGTGCCAAACGTGACAAGAAATGTAGCTAACATGCCTCACACTGTTGAAAGGCTGGTCAGAAAGACAAGGTCTTGATATCAGCGATCCATATATTTATTCCGAGAAAGTCATCAACGGCCCATCATTCCAGGCGATATGGAATGGTTGGAAGGAGAACTTGGCTGCCGGATTTTACGGCATCACAAGTAACGGCGTCAAAAGAGGGGGGCTCTACCGTCTCCAAGATGAAGGCGCGCCAACACAGGAAATAGTAATTTACCGCTTCGTTAAAGTGATTCTATCGCTAGGTGTCTAAGACATGTATTGGTATTAGGTCGATGCTGCCACGGCCGTCATTGCATCGCTGAGCCCTGGCGAGAAGAGCGCTGCTGTTCGCGACTTGGAGTCTGAAGACTGGTTCGTTTTCAACTTACCTTCGGAGATTCTTTCGAAAGGCAAGATTCAAGGAACTTGTCACTGACGTTAAATTCTCCAATTTACTCCTGATCAGCCGGAAATGGAGTAACCCTGAGCTAGTTCTCTTCCAATGTAGTGTCCACCTCGAACAGCTGCAGCAGGCCAAGGTCGACTTAATTATAGCGCTTCTGAAGAAGTCGTTCAGCGATAAGGGGTTCGCCAAGATAGCCGGGGCGATGAAGACAAACAAGTTCCTTGGTGAGCTGTGCAGCTGTGAGGCCATTTTGAACGAAAAGAGCTACTGGTGAGATCCCACATGCGCACCACGTCATCGTAGACTAATCATCGATAGGTTTACGGTTTTTAGTGAACCGTCAGAGACAAAGCCATGGCATTACATGCTATTCGGTCACCACCTCTGTCTAAATGTCTTCATTGTAGGACGACAGATAGTCGTCGGCCCCGTGTTTGTTGGTGCCGAGCCCAATGTGCGTATCTCACCCGATGACGGACTTTAGGGTTTCTTTATCTTCTTTTTTTTTATTTTTATTTTTATTTTTATTTGTGTGTGTGTGTCGAGCTAATTCAGTGAAGGCTATCGACTCAGGTCCCGATAAAGGCATCGAGATTTGCGCAAAAGAAGGCGAGCTGGGTCTCGAGCTCATGCAATCTCTCCCTCCAGATCTTCAGAGGAAGGCACAAACATATGCGAATCTACACGACGACGCCATGCCAGACGGCCGCTGGAACTTGGCGGACCAGGTATCACCCACAAAGTCCTTCGTCGTAACTACTCACAGTGCATTTTTCCTAATCGTTGATTTCCTTTAGAGGCATCTCGCGGGCGCGTTCCAGGACAATAGAGTGATTCCATATGAAGGGGTCGTGGCATCCGACATGGACTGTGAAAATCAGCAGAAGCTGATGGCCGTAGTCGAGGCATTCCTAGCACTATTACCCCCAAAACCTCTGGAGGCAAGGCTTAAGCAGATCCGTGCCTGGTTACCGGAGACGTATTTCTCCTGGATCGGGGGCTACGGCCCAGAAGATCCGTTCTACTACCGCATCCAGAGTCCAGTGGCCCTTTTTGAGTTTGATCATCACTCAAGCGTGTTTCTTACAAACCGGGAGCCCGCTAAGTATCATATCCATACAGTCCAGCGCATTCCTAATGGTAATGACTATGGCATGGAGCTGAAAAGCCTTGCCACAAAGCCGTAGCTTGTTGAGAGTCCAGAAAGCCCAGAATAGGTTAGTTGAAAATAATACACACCTCCAGCTCTACCCTCGCATACTCGGTAAACCATGCATTCGAGTCTACTAGCCAATGAGAAGAAGCCCCCGCTCCCCAGACATTACCAGCAGTCGAGATCGGTTAGCGACCCCATCCACTGCTACGCACCTGTACTGCTAGGCCCTTTTAGCACTAGCTCATTTCTTTCGCACAAAGCATAATGCAAAGTTTAGATCCTCCCCGCACATTCTTTAAAAGCTTGGCGGGACCCCGGATTACTCGCCTCTTCAAGCGTTGGGTCCAACAATACGGCAAGGAAGGGCATAATGACAGACGCAACGCCCCGGTTTCCGCGAGCCAAAAGGGTTGCTCGTGCGTGCGAGTACTGCCGGAAAAAAAAGGGTGTGTATTCAGCCTTCCGTTTTTGATTTTTATTTTATTTTATTTAATTTTTTTTTCTTTTCAATGTCCTTAACCACATCTCATTATGCGACCCCTGAGAAGCGTAGTAGGAGTCTAATACTGACCTGTTGTCCTTAAAGCTCAAGTGTACGCCAAATCAACGCCCTTGTTTAAACTGTCAGCTCTATAATGCCGAATGTACGACTCGCGACGGGCCCCGGCGGGCCACTGGTGCGATGGCATCCAGCCGGGCAAGCCAGGACGGCGCAAGCCAGGACGGCGCAAACCCCGACGCGGAGCCAGGGATGCCCTGGATCGACCACTTGACGCCAGAAGTAGCAGATGAGCCCACCACCGAAATGAGGATCGATCCGGCGCTTCCGACACACTGCAATCTCGAGGACGAGCTCATCGCGCCGGCCCACTGGACGCCCGAGCAGAACTATGGCCAAGATGGATCAACGCAGGACTTTGGGCACGTTTTGCGCCAGCTGGGCATCGGCGTGTCATCAAACTTCTGGGACATGGAGCGGCCCATGCTGCCCAGCCTCACCGATCTCGGTGCCGCGCCTATCCCCGTGCCCGGGCACGCTCCCTTAAGCGGCGCCACGGACCGTGTCTTGCAAGCGCATTCCCCAGTCGGGGTTGCCAGATACTTTGCTTCTCCTCCTCGATCGACGACCAATTCTGCGAATGGAAGGGTTTCGAGTCTGGAGTTGCTAACGAAGAGGGATGCCGATGGAGAGAACGTGAGGCGATCCGTGCCGGCCGGCGTGTTCATACGGAAGGATGAAACAGTCGCCAACTACATCGGTTTGTTTTTTAAGCGGTGCCGCGTATTGGCTCTTGTCGCTTTTTCTAATGCCTAGTATCAACAGGTCTTAACTCGGTAGGCGCTACTCTAGCTCTCTGCCTAAAAGATGGCATTGAGAGTCAAAAGGCACCCATCAGTGCGAGTACGATGGGCTTTCTTATCGAGGCGGGGCCGCACGTCGACGAAGTTGGTATCATGTCCCTTTTCGACATTGAATCGCAGCAACTGCCGCCTCGTGAAGTGGCCATGGATAGCATCGACGGCACGTCAATTCGCGTGGTCTATACGCAATGAGAATGCAGCTAAATGTCTAAGCAGCCTACTTTCGAAACCTCAACGATTTCTATCCGATCGTCGACGAAGAATCCTACCGAACCAATGTCGAAACCCTGTACGGGCCTAGCCGACATATGCTTGGCATCCTCGACTATTCCATCTTCCTCTTGGTAGTGTCCATTGGCCGGCTGAGCATGAGGCACGGGTCCAACAAGTCTGACGCTGGCAACGACAACGAAAACGAAAACGATAACCTCGCGGAAACTACCTACGAAAAGGCGTGGTCTATGATTCATGACTCTATAGCGACACCTTGCGAGGGCTCTTTACAGATTCTTTTGTTACATGTACGTGGGTTTCTTGAAACACATTGATTAGACGATGCCCAAGCACTAACTCTTTTAGGTGGCACGTAATTTGTATTTCGGTAGATGCGGGATGGCGTGGGTCTTCTGCGGACTTGCTCTGCGCATCGCCATGTCACTAGGTCTGCACAGGAAAACGCCGGCTGAAATAGACCTCTCTCCATCCCAGCTGCGCTTACGCTCTCGGCTGTGGTGGATAGCCTTCAGTTTTGATGCGTCAGTATTTTATTCAGTTTTGTCAACTTCAGCTATCGTAGGCGACGAAGTGATCGGCGTGCTGACCCGCATCGATAGAACATTGTCTCTCTCACAGGGTAGACCTCCAGGCGTAACAGATGCAAGTTATGACAGGGAAACCATACTCGCGGAAGCTGGCATCGGCGGCGGCACTTCATTTCCGACCTTTTCCCAGGTATACACCTGGACCTGTCAGCTAAATCAAATCCAAAATCGGTTCTGCAACATCATGCATTCCAGAGACACGGCCCTATCCCGACACGAGGCGATCGTCAAGGTTGATGATGATCTCATGGCGTGGAAGGACGGCTTACCCACTTCCTGCCGGCCAGGAAACCTGATCCTTACTTCCAGCGACCGCTATATACACGTACTGCTGATGCATCTGGAATATTTCAACCTACAAAGGGCCATCCACTGGGCGGCTATAACTCTGCGGCCGGCATATATAGCCACAGGCCCCACCGAACTTCTCACGTCCAGAATACGTGCAAGTGAGAGACTATGCGTCGAGAGCGCGCGGTCTTTTATAAACGAACTGAACGAGTGAGTTTAATTGAGGAAATTTGGGCGTTCTTATTCGTCGCTAACTCTGTGTTAATAGTGGTGCTGGGGACCTCCAAGGCGAAAGGGTATTTGTGATTAGGCAAGTCCATGATCGCCTAACACTTTAGGCAACTACTGACAAAATGTGAAAGCTTCCAAACCACAAACTACATGGCAGCCATGGCCGTCCTATACCGGAACATCTGTAGGAACCCGCTACACTTGGCTGCTCGAGCGGACCTAGAGCACCTACGCGCGTGTAAGCTGCACCTTGAGCGCGATACCCCTCACAACGTTACGGGACCTTCGTTGAAGGCTCTGTTTGACTATATGGTCACTTCTGCACATGATCTGGTATGGAAGCCTAGCTCTAGCGCTCCGGAAAGAGTATGACTTGCCGTGTTTGGGTATACATTATGCAGGACTGGGCGGTACGTTTGCTTTTACATTGTTGTTTTGTTTTATTACAAACCCAAGGTTTTTACTAGGCTACGCGGGAGTATTCCTTATTGCCTGTTAGTCTCGATGCGCATCTGGGTTGGAAATAGGCCTAGATTCCTCTTCGCCCAAGCTCGGACACTCCATAGTGCTGGGGCGTACAGTGGGGCCAAAAAAGTTTCGATCACTTTTTTTTTTCCCGGGCCCCCAAAATCGGGAGCCCCCCCCCTCCCCCCACCCACTTCCCGAGACCCGACATTCGGAAGCTCCCCCCCCCGGGGGGGGGACCCCCGGAAAAAAAGGGGGGGGGGTTGGGTTCGGTTTCTTCGATGACCGGATTTCCTCCAACCCTCTCTGAATAGAGAAAAATGGAGAAAACTTGGGCAAAGTACCTCGACTCCTCCCTTTCCGCTGTTCTCCTCCGAACCTGCCGTTGCAGCCTCCACCGTTACTTCGTGCCATCTTGAGGCAGATAAGACAATGGTGTGGGTTCGAGCGTGGACAATTAGTCTCGGGTGAGCATTGAACGTTGAATGCTCACCCGAGACTAATTGTCCACGCTCGAACCCACACCATTGTCTTATCTGCCTCAAGATGGCACGAAGTAACGGTGGAGGCTGCAACGGCAGGTTCGGAGGAGAACAGCGGAAAGGGAGGAGTCGAGGTACTTTGCCCAAGTTTACTCCATTTTTCTCCATTCAGAGAGGGTTGGAGGAAATCCGGTCATCGAAGAAACCGAACCCAACCCCCCCCCCAAAAAAAAAACCACCTGTCTCAGTGGTTGGCTGGGACGCTGACTCTCTTCGTCCCGAGTCTCTGGCCGCCTCTACGAAGTACTTCGTAGGGGTGTGTCGAATGCCATCTGTGCCTGAAATACTAGGCTCACGCGGATGTAGTAGAAATTACTTCTTAATAGCCACCAGTGATCACCCAAAATACCGTTTCTAGCCCTACAAATTTGACATTTCTGTGCTATACTGCACCCAACAGGGTTCCGTTCAACATATCGCCAGGCTTTATTATTTCCCCACACCCGTATCGCCAATCTTTACATCTCCCACATCCCGCCACCCGCATCCGTCCCGCCATGTTGCCGGCAACATGGCGGGACGGATGCGGGTGGCGGGATGTGGGAGATGTAAAGATTGGCGATACGGGTGTGGGGAAATAATAAAGCCTGGCGATATGTTGAACGGAACCCTGTTGGGTGCAGTATAGCACAGAAATGTCAAATTTGTAGGGCTAGAAACGGTATTTTGGGTGATCACTGGTGGCTATTAAGAAGCTAGTATTAGGAATATAATTTTAATATTAGCCTGTTTTTTAAGATTCTAGATAGAAATAAAAGGGTTTCTTTTAATAATTAAGAGAATATATCTAATTTAGTTAAGACTAATACTATATAGCTACTTAGATTATAGTAAGCTAAGGTAATCTAGATTACCTTAGCTTACTATAATCCTAATACTAGCTTATTAATAAGCTAATATTAAAATTATATTCCTATACTTAAAGTAACTACTAGAGAGTTTTAAAAGATAAACTAGATATAGATACTAAGCTTTAGTAAAATTAGAACTATAATCTAAGTAGCTATATAGTATTAGTCTTAACTAAATTAGATATATTCTCTTAATTATTAAAAGAAACCCTTATATTTCTATACTTGTATATAATAAAGTTAAAATATAAAAAATAACTACTCTACTTATAGATAATATCTTAATCTTATTACTAGTTATATTTACTTAATAGAATAATTATAACTATATTACTATTAAAGAGGTATATAGTAAGGTTGAAGATTAGATTACTAAAGTAAAAGATATTAATACTACTTAATAAAATTACTTATTAAATAAAAGTAGTTAATATATTAACTACTTTTATTTAATAAGTAATTTTATTAAGTAGTATTTATAAGATATAAGTAAGAAGTATATATTTAAGTATAACACTATATTTAGCTATAATTATACTTAAATATATACTTCTTACTTATATCTTATAAATACTATTTAACTACCTTATTTTATTATTAATAAATAATTACTTTAATCTTATTACTAGTTATATTTATTTAATATTATAAATAGGTTAATATTAAAATTATAATATATTAACTACTTTTATTTAATAAGTAATTTTATTAAGTAGTATTAATATCTAGGAATTATAGTACTTAAAAAAGGAAAGCTACCTACTACTCTAAACTCTAAGTTAGATAATAAAGTTAAAATATAAAAAGTAACTACTCTACTTATAGATAATAGAGAAGACTTTAATAATGACTATAATTATACTATTACTATTAAAGAGGTATATAGTAAGGTTGAAGATTAGATTACTAAAGTAAAAGATATTAATAAGAAACTAGTAAAAATTGATAAGTTTACTATTTACTAGAATAAAAAGAATAGGGAATTTAACTAATATATTACTTATATAGAATAGATAATCTAGTAACTTTATAATAACCTAGAAATATAAGGAATCCCCTAGGTACTTACTATCTAATTATAAGTATTTAATAGACTAAAGCTTAAGATTATAATATTAGATAAATATAAAGGGAACTAGTAAAAGCTATAAGGATTTCTATTAAAATTAATAACTAACTATATAAATAATAATAATAAAAGTAAAGCTAAAGTACTATAGTAAAGGCCTATAAACTATAGGCTTCTATTAATACTAAATAGAAATAAAGTAATAGTAATATCTTATAGGGAACTTATTTTAAACTTATAAAACTAGAAATTAGTAATAAGAATATTATTTCTAAGTTACTTAAGGATAAGATTAGTAAGTATTTTCTATATAGAAGGTATAAATATTTTATATAAGAATACTAAATAAAGTATAAGCTTAAGTTAGGTTATAAGAAGCTTAATAAAAAGAAAACTTAAAAACTAGTACTTAAAGGAAAGGCTTAATAACTAAAAGCTAATATAGCTAATTATAAATCCTTATTATAGACTATATACTATAATAATAGCTATACTACCTACTAAAGTAAAAAAGATAGAGCTAGATAGTACTTTAAGAAACTTTAAACTTTTAAGATAATATAATAAGAAGAGATTACTAAGATCTTAGAAATTAAAAACTATATTAAAGAAATTTAATAAGAACTACTAAAAAAGTTTAAAACCCATTATAATCTTCTGGATAAAATATTTATCATGATATTAGAAGTATATTAATACTACTATTAAATACTATACTTATTATAATAATTTATATATAAACTAGAACTAAAAGAATTAGTAAAAATTAGAGGGGAAATAATTCTATATACTAGACCTATCTAATAATTTAGTTTAAATAAGGATAAGCTAGAAAGCTTATATTAGTAAACTACTAAGATATAAAAGAATACCTTAGAACTACTAATAGGCTACTAGCTATATAATAAAGGATAGGAGGACTATTAGTAAAGGGTCTAGCTAAAAAGGGAGTAGTATTAGTTTAAAGCTACTAAATAAGGAGAATAGGTATAGAAAGGAGTAAAAGGGGGTATTAGTAGAAGGAATTCTATATAAGTAGAATAAAATATAGATATAGAAAGCAATTTAATTAACTTATAAGGATAAATTAACTAATTATATTATACCCTTTAAGATATTAACTTATAGGTCTAAAAGTAATAAAAAGTTATTTTTAATACCTAAGATTAAATTAATTAATTAAAAATAATATTTTATAGTAAAGACTTCTAAATAGAATTTTAATAATAAATTAATAACTTAGGAGAATAGATTGATTTTATAGAAGATATTAAAACTAATATTAAAAA